ATGCGAAACGCCAGTTTCACTCTTGACTAGCTGGTACTACCTGGGCTCTCAACAAAGGTAGCGTTAGGAGGATGTCTCATTCACTCCTCAAACTTGTTTTCTCAATCCATGGTATTTTATTCCTCCTCTCATCCTCTACTCGTGTTCGCCTGCTCTCATGCTCTCCTGCTCGCCTGCTCTTCTGATTTCTTGCCCTCCTGCTCTCCTGCCCTCCTGCTCTTCTGCTCTATACGGCAGGCCGTTGTGACCACAGTGCTCGAGGTCCGAGACCTACTGAGGCACCACGGCTTGGCAGAGGAGGTTATTTGAGCATTTGTCTTGAGAAGCTGGGTAGGTCCCCACGTTTATCCCAAGGCGGTGGATGCCAATGTGGGTGATGCACATGTTATTGCTGCTGTGAGATGCAGCATTCAGTTCTGTGCTAGCTGTAATGTGATAGTCGCTCCTTGTACTGCCTCAGTCAATGATATCACGTGCTATGTACCCTCTCAAGCCTTGCCCCCTCATTCTCCCCCTCTCTTATCTTCTTCGTCATCCCTTCTTTCCTCTTCTGTCTTTCCTTCCCCCTCCTCCCGCCTTCCCTTTCCCTCCTTTCTCCCCGCCTCTTACTTCCTCCCACTCCCTCGTGTTCCCCCTCTCATTCTGTCATCCTTACCCCCTCGCACACACATCTCCCCCAACAGTTGCAGAGCCTAGGTGCCTAGGTGTCATCCACCAATTGAATGAGGTGGTGTATAATGGGGCACAAGTGGTGCGCAGCGCGCTCAACCAGTGAGTGCGCATCAGTATGTGCCCTTGCGTGAGTGCCTATGCGTGAGTGCCCACGCGTGAGTGCCCGTGCGTGAGAGCCCATTGCAGGAGTGCCCATTCCATCAGAGCCCATAGCGTGAGTGCTGCACCTGTGTGTGGTGTCAATCCGTTAGTGCTGTATGTTGGCATGCGTGTGTGGGTGTGCGTGCGTGTGTGTGAGCAGTGTCCTCAGCCAGCAGTCACAGCTCGTTCGATCCGTGCGCTGCATGCATGCTGGCATGTGTGTCTGTTGACTCAGATGGGTGGATCATTTCGTGTGCATGCATGGGTGTGCGACCTCATGCATCATCCCTCCCACCCCTTGTCCCCTATCGAGTGTCCCTCCCTCGCCCTTGTCCCATCATGCCCTGCAGATTCTCATATCTCAAGGGGGGGGGCTGCAATTGGAGGTGATACAGAGGGGCGGGAAGTGGAGGATCTATGGGTAACTGGCAGTTGCTTATTCTTGATTCTCCGTCTCCCTCTCCTTTGTGTTCCCACCACACCACACTGCACCACACCACACTATACCACACCATACCACACCACACCACACAACCTAGAACAACACCCTGCCGGATGACAAGACGCGAACTGGCAAGCCGAAGCGATGCAGGGGTGGGGAGTTGAGAATCTGTGGATGCCCGGCACGGCAACCACTACCTACCGCTGGCTGGCTTTACTCGCATCGCACCACAATGGCTTCCTCTCTCCGCCTTGATGCACCACAATGGCTCCCCCTCTCCGCCTTGATGCACCACAATGGCTCCCCCTCTCCGCCTTGATGCACCACGTCCACCGCTCCCACTTCTCCCAATGGGCCTTCCAGACTGGACTCACCCTTTAACTGGACTCGCCCTATAAGGCTGCTCTTCAACTGGACTCGCCCTTTAAGGCTGCTCTTCAACTGGACTCGCCCTTTAAGGCTGCTCTTTAACTGGACTCGCCCTTTAATGCTGCTCTTTAACTGGACTCGCCCTTTAAGGCTGCTCTTTAACTGGACTCGCCCTTTAAGGCTGCTCTTTAACTGGACTCGCCCTTTAAGGCTGCTCTTTAACTGTACTCACTGCTCGCATGCATCTTTGAGGCGGCTTAAAACAATTTTTTGATATTCGTCACTGCATGTGGCCTGTTGTGTGTGTGTGTGTGTGCGCGCGCGCGCGTGTGCGTGTGTGCGTGCGTGCGTGTGCGCGCGCGCGTGTGCTTGCGTGTGTGTGTGAGTGCATGTTGCGCCAACACTCGCTACTCCGTGAGTGTCGGTGTCGCTGTGTCGTTCCTATGTGTGTTTGTGTCGAGCGTCGACTCAAAGTTGCAAGAGGGGGAGCAGCTGCATGCGGAGAGGGAGTGGGTGGGGGCGAGGGGCAGGGGGGAGCAGTGCAGGAGAGGGTTCAGGCCGTGCAGTGGGAGCAGGGCGCCCTTGAGACTGAGGCAGCGCACTGCGAGAGGCATCTAGTAAGGTGGGAGTGTGGTCAGGGTGAGGTCAGGGGTGAGATGGGGGTGAGGTGGGGGTGTGGTGGGGTGAAAGGGGAGGGTTGGGAGGGGGTTGAGGTGAGGTGGGGATGGGGTATGGTTGTGTGGTATGAGAGTGTGTGCGGATGAGTTGGGGATAAGCCTTGTTCGTGCGTGGGTATGGGCGGGCGAGCTGGAGTAGGGAGAGGGAGTTCGATTTTGAGGGATGATGAGAGGCATGGTGCGATCAGATTCTTTTGCTGGTGGAAGTAGGATATGCCTTCTCACTCCATATCCAGTGTCTCCGTGTGTGTGCTAAATGCCTGCATGCAGTATGGCCTGTTCTTACCAATCTAAACCGTCTTACACTCTTCTGCACTGCAGCAATTCGAACAAAAAGAGATTTTAAAACCTCCCCCCCTTGCTCCTTCCCCTGCTCCTCACTTGTCTTTCCTCTCTACATCGCAGTCGATAGAACTGTGGTGCACTTCCACCTCCCTTATTGGAGTCTTTTCAGTTCCTTCTCCCATCTCACGTATCCTCTCTCCTCCCCAATGCTCTCCACTTCTCTACTTCTGCAGTACAAAATCACGAGATGTGGGCATCATTGGGGCGGAGCAAGGATGTGGAGAGGAAGGCATTGCTCTCAGCATGGAGCGGCAGCTGGGCAACACCAACAAAACACATTTGTGTGTCACCGTTACATGGATAGGGCATATTAGCTTGAGAGCAGAGAGGAGGGAGAGAGCAGAGACTGACCACCTGCATGGATCGGCGATGTCACGAAGGCACATCCTATTGCTACTGGTACACGGGTATTGTAGAGTGAGTAGAGAGAAGAGCGCATGGGCAGACATAGGTAAACAGTATGTAGCACCTGTGTACTTGCATCCCCAAGCATCTCCCCTCTTCCTCTCCAAATCCTCCCTCACCTCCTCCCCCTCCCCTTTCCCCTCTCCCCCCCATTCCCAATCGTGTGTGCACCTCCCCCAAAAGCACCTGCTGAGCCTTTGGTAGGAGAACCATCGCCTTTCCTCCGTACAACTTGCTGTGGTGTGGACAGGCCCCCCTTCCCTTCCCTGTAACGTGGTGTGTTTTGAGTCGACTCAAAACACATGTGGACAGGCTCCCCTTCCCTTCCCTGTAGAGCGTGTTTTTTGAGAATTCTCAAAAAACAGGCTCCCCTTCCCTTCCCTGTAACGTCCCACGAGCTTGCCTTATGACATGTGCACGCACCATGCTCATGTCTTGTGCACCATGATACTCCACATGCCATAACCATGCATCAGACGTAGCCATGCGCCCATGCCATAGCCATGCGCCCATGCCATAGCCATGCGCCACGTGCCATAGCCATGCAGTCACCATGTCCCCCCCCACCAGATGCACGAGCGTGAGGGCGAGATTCAATGATCTGGACGTAGCAGTGAAGCACCAAGGAACCTTAACCATGCCCATGCACCCAACACACGCTTACAGCGAGCACCCAACACATGCACCACATGCCATGGCCTCGCACCGTGTCACATCTCTCCCCTCCCCCCCCTATCAGGTGCGGGATCGTGATGGCGAGGTCAAGGACCTGGACGAGCAGCTGCTGAAGCTGCAACAGAAGGTGATGCACGGTACGTGGGGATGGGGAGGATTGGGGATGACTGGGGATGGGTGGGGATGATTTTTGGGAAGGGAGGATAGCAAGTGAGTGAGGATGACAGGTGGGAATGGGCGTAAGGGGGCAATTGGGGGTTTGTGTGTGAATGGTATGTGGAAGAATGATATAGTTAGTAATTTCTCTGAAATCTCCTGCACTTACCGCTGTGCCTTCCAAGGCACCTCAAACCATTATGCCCCTCGGTCATCCCTCTCACAAAGTCGTGCCCCACGGGAGGATGGTCTGGGGCCAAGAGGAGGCGCTTCGGCATGCTCCTGACTTACACCTCTCTTCCTCATGCGTATCCTTTCCCTTACCCTCTCCTGCTCTCCCACACTGCATGCCAGAGGAGGACCGGCTGCATTCAGCAAAGCAGCAGCACGCACTTAAGCACCCACTTGACTTGCATCCCTTTTCCCCCATTCCTAACCCATCTCCCTGGAAGCGCTGCAGCTTGGTCCTTTTTCTATCTTGCTATACTGTCAATGAAACAATGGCGAAATCGAGCGAGGAAATGGTAAAATACGAGAGTTTATGTGAGGAGGTGGCATTAGTGGACGGCCTTTTTCGTAGGTGACATCAGCTCGCTCTATAATTTGGGAAAACTGCCGTAGGCTTGTATGGTAAACTGGTTAGCTTTGAGTACGATGTGATGGAAGAGATCTTCCATGGTAGATCTGTGTTCGTATAACTCTATGTCCATGGCAAATACATCTTGGTCTCTGCTTTATTCTTCAAACAAAGAACAGCAGCCATCTGTTGTATTGAGCTTTCCCACGTGAGCAGAACTTGGTCTTTTGTCGGCAATGCATTATTGAAGTACAATGGAGCATGAACACTCGTTTTGAATTTACCTCCTGGCCTAGATAATGAAGCTACCCAACCCATCAATTGAATGCGTAGAAATCCCTCGTCGTGACTAATGCAGAGCAGCTTCTGTCCAAGGCATCTGATGGCAAGAACTTGGAAAAGCTAGAAAATGACATTGTTTTTTTGTCAATGGAAAACAGCAACCAGCCCCCCCATTGACACGTCCAAAGATTCTGATTGTTGCCAATTGTAATCGAGACACACCTAGGAATGGTTGACATGTGCAGTGTCAAACCATAGCTCACACAGTATCAGAGGAACCGCTCTGCATGGCGATCTCGTGGGCACGAGCAATGGAAGCGTTGAAGTCGAGATCGCTGGACGTGTCAATCTCGCTGTCGATGCGCGACGCCACCTTGTCCACCTCCTCGCCCACTATCTCCCCCCTCACCGCCACCAGCTCCCCCAGCACCTTGCCCATGGACGGGCGCGAGGCCGTGGGCATGGCGGTGCAGGAGAGAGCCAGGCGGGCCAGGCGCAGCAGAATGTCATCCGGGGTGTCCAGGCGCGGGTCCTTGAAGGCTGCGACTGAATTGGATGCCACCAATGGCTCCACCTGCACGCATGGGAGAAGGGAGGCTGCGTGAATGGAGCTGCAATGCTGTGGAGGGTTTGTGGTAGTTTGAGGATATGCTAAAAAAAAAAAAAAATAGCCTCATGAAGAGCATGAGCACTCAGCTCACCCATTGCTTGAGGTGTACATGGCCGCCCTCTGCCTCTTGCACTGCCTTGCGCCCCGTGATCACCACCAGCATCACCACCCCGAAGCTGCCATCACAAAGCAAACAACAACAAATTTTGAAAAAAAAAAAAAAAAAATTTGCAGTGAAGATGATGAGCAGGCAAGAACAATCCGCTTTGCACTCTCCTAAACCCTAGTAGCGTGTCACTGCCCTCTCACGTGCTCTACAATCCGCAATGTCATCCATTGCACCGGCTCACATCAGCTATCTTTCTTCACCCATTCCATGAGCCATAGGGGGTGCCTCTCCTCACCTGTACACATTGGCCATGGGGGTGGCCTGTGTGACTTGCAGTGGGCGGGGTCCACATAGCCCGGTGTGCCCATCATCCCACATATTTCCGTGCAGGAAAACACGAGCTTGCACCACACGGCACCCCTCTTTACCTGTACACATCGGCCATGGGGGTGGCCTTGTGGGACTTGCAGTAGGCGGGGTCCACAAAGCCCGGTGTGCCCATCACTCGAGTGGCTGCCACTGTTGTGCCCGCAGCCGTGCCACCACTCAGCTTCACCAGCCCGAAATCCGCAATCTTGGCCTGCAGGAGCAGCAGTGGCCAATTCAATGATGAATGGTTGCACAGGAGCCCTCACTCACAGCACAACGGCAGAAGCAGCAGTGGCTTATTCAAGAATGAATGGAAGGCAGGGAGGAATAAGGCAGGGTGGAACGAAGTGCGAGGGAGGTTGATAGCATGAGAGGGAGGTTGATAGCATGAGAGCGAGGAGCAAGCAGGGATTGCTGCGAGCATGCCTGCATGGTCGCGCTGAGGAGGATGTTGGCGGGCTTGATGTCGCGATGCACGATGCCAAAGTCATGCAGGTACTGCAGCCCCTTGGCCACGCCGATCAGAATGTCCACTCGCTGGCGCAGGGAGAGAGGCGTGGCGGCAGCGGGTGCGATCCAGGCATCGAGGTCGTGGTGGGGCATGAACTCGTACACGAGTATTTGCTCCATGGTGCGTGTTGCCGCGTCAAACGCGATGCAGTAGCCCAGCAGCCGCACCAGGTTCGGGTGGTGCTTCGATGCCATCTCCCTCACCTGCAAAGGGAGAAGGGAACAAATAAAAAATTGGAAGTGGAAGAAGATGACGTTATTATCAGAAAACAATGGTGTGGCACGAGAAATTGCAACGAGCACACGGGGAGTCGTTGGCGAGCACTCAGGAAGCACACAGGCAGCACACGGGAAGCACATGAGAGGCACATGAGAGTCACACGAGTGCCACCTCTCTTTGGAAGTCGTTGGTGAGCACTCGAGCGCGCTTCACCGCCCACACCTCGCTCCCACCGTGCGGGTTCAGACCTCTGTACACGTCGCCAAAGCTGCCGCTGCCAATCCTGTTGCGCTCCGCCCACTCCCCCGTGGCTGCTGCCATGTCCTCCAGAGAATATTCCTGACACACATTCGCCCGCGCCGCCCCCACCTCCACCACCCCTTCCTCCCCACTCCCTACTGCTGCTGCTGCTGCTGCCGCCGCTGCTGACGCTGCTGCTTCAGTGCTACCTGCGACCAGAGAGTGTTTTAGGGGGGGTATGTGCGACAACGTGGAAGGGGGTAATGAGGCATGTGTGTAGGAGTAGACTTACAGACTAGATGGATGGCATGGCAAGAGAATAAGTGTGAGTTGTGGTCATGGGATTACGAAGACCATAATTTGGCTTCGGTATTATTCACCAAAAAAAAAAAAAAGGAAAGTGATTCAGGCAAGGAGCCTTTAGACAGACCCACAATGGGGGAAGACGATGGAACGATAGAATATTGTGCATGCTCGAGGACGAATGGATGGGAGTTGGAGGGAATACATGGACGGACTCTTTGAGACATATGATGGGTGAATAGAGAGATGCAGAGACAAGGATAGACAGTTCAGGACCAGTGGAAGACTGGGTGATTAGAAGAGGTGCAGTAGGGGAGAGAGAGAGAGAGAGAGAGAGAGAGAGAGAGAGAGAGAGAGAGAGAGAGAGAGAGAGAGAGAGAGAGAGAGAGTTACGGAGGTGGGAGAGAAGGGTTGAATGAGGAGAGAGGAGATGACGTGGCTAGAGAGAAAGTCACACCCTGGCAGTCCTCCTTGCTTGCAGGGGCAGCCCTCGAGAATGCCTTTGCCTGGCTGCGCCTCCGCCACAGCAGTGCACCGAGCAGCACTGCCAGCAGGAGAGCAGCCACAGCAGCAACAGCGATGCCGGCAATGGTTGCTGTGGACAGACCCCCTTGCGATGGAGAAGGCGCAGGTGCAGTGTTAACGGGTGGTGCTGGAGGTGTGGAGACCGAGGGAGGCGCTGGAGCTGTTGTGGTGGGGGGCGCTGGGGTGTCTGCTGAGGGGGGTGCTGCAGGTGCTCATGTGGAGGGGAGAGGTAGAAGGCAGATGATGCACGCACACACAATTACAGCATCAAGCCGCACAGCACAGCACGCATCAGTGGTTGGCCGTCTTGATTAAACTACTGCGCGTTTGCGCACGATGCGAAACACAAGACACTCGAATCTTCCAGGGCAGGATATAAAAAAAGAGGTCATACAAGGAGGTGCTGCCGTACCTGCAGGTGCTGCCGTACCTGGAGGTGCTGCCGTACCTGGAGGTGCTGCCGTACCTGGAGGTGCCGCCGTACCTGGAGGTGCTGCCGTACCTGGAGGTGCTGCCGTACCTGCAGGTGCTGCCATACCTGCAGGTGCTGCCATACCTGCAGGTGCTGCCATATCTGCAGGTGCTGCCATACCTGCAGGTGCTGCCATACCTGCAGGTGCTGCCATACCTGCAGGTGCTGCGACACAGGAGGAGCAGAAAGCGGGGCATGTCTTGCAGAAGGCGCTGTCAGGGTGCTGCTCAACCTCACAGCTGGCATTGTTTGGCGGGCATGTGAGTGACGTGCCATTAAGAATCCTGCAGACGAACAGAACGACGAGACAGATGCTCATCGAACCACGGCAATACATTTCAAGTTACGATGTGCTATTGCAGAAGAACAGTGCTTGCAAGAAAAAAGTGTGTTGAAGTATAATATGAGAGCACACCATGCAACATTTTGGTCATGGTAGCTAACGGCGCATTCTTTGTGGGTGGCAGCATGCCATACAGCACACTGCGCCATACATCACACTGCGCCATACATCACACTGCACCATACAGCACACTGCGCCATACATCACACTGCCCCATACATCACACTGCGCCATAAACCACACTGCGCCATACATCACACTGCGCCATACAACACACTGCGCCATACACCACACTGCGCCATACATCACACTGCGCCATACAGCACACTGCGCCATACATCACACTGCCCCATACATCACACTGCGCCATAAACCACACTGCGCCATACATCACACTGCGCCATACATCACACTGCCCCATACACCACACTGCGCCATACACCAGACTCCGCCATACAGGCCAAAGAGCTTGGTGAGGTTTCCCATGGAGGGAGGGAGGTGGCCAGAGAAGTTGTTCCCCTGAATGTAGCTGCGAGGTGGAGGGGAGAGGTAGGCAGAGATGGAGAGGGGAGGTAGTCAGGGAGGGAGGGAAAGAGGGAGAGAGGGCAGTTCTGGTGGACTCCATCACACTGGCCAGCTCTGGTGGACTCCATCACACTGGCCAGCGAGGTTCCAGCGCCCCACCACCATCCTTCAACAACCCCAGCACTGATCCGTGCTGGAGCAGGGCGGCCATGAGCGTACTCCTTATCTGGATCGGGCAGGATCAGTACTGGGGCGGTTGTCAGTGCTGTCTGTAGCGTGCTGCCATCATCCAATACTCCCTGCCGTGCCAGCACCCTCCTGCGCCCGCCCAACTCTCGCTCGGGTCAAGCTTGCAGGTCGACCACTACAGCAGTGAGGGCCAGGAGTCATGTCATCCTGGTGGTAAGGTGAACACGGTGGCACTACATTCTCTTACAAGCACAAGCCTAACACGTTAAAGACGTTTTGGAACCATGTGTATTTTAGGCCTCGACCATACGAGAGCATTCACAACAAAAGTTGCCATGCAATATAACAAAGCAAATGTAGTCAGGCCCCTCACATTTGGCATAAGTAGAGAAAGAACTCGGGCCAGCGCTGGAAACCTATTCGAGTGAGTTAACCTGTCGGGTCAAACCTATTCAGGTAAGTAATGTCGGAGGACCTCTTCTATCGATTTGATTAGCATCTATAACTTTCCAAGCAGCGAAAACATGCCACCACTAATATCTGTGGAAGGTACACAGGCTCGACCCAGCGGTGGGTGGGTGGGAGGATGCCTATTAAGTTGAGAGAAACTGAAGTGGGAACTCGGACAAGTGGCCTCGAAAGGGACTTGTGCGGCTCAAGTGGCCAAGTCTCGTCAGGCCGTGAGAGTTTGCGTCTCGACAAACAGGCGAGTCCGTCATGGGGGATCAACACGTTGTGGACCAAACCCAGTCCCATCCATAACGGGCCTAACCAGGGTCAAACTGTTCCTCATGAGTCATGCCTTGTGACTACATTTTTCATTCGTGATGGAAATGAAATGCACTTACAATGCGCTCAATTTTGTGAGCTGGCCGATTGAATCTGGAATGCTGCCATTCATTCTATTGAACAGAACATCCCTGAAGGAACCAAGGGAATGAAAGAACAGGCTCAAATGAGCAACGAACCATGGAGGCTGGGATTAGATTCCCTTCTAAAGTGAAACCAATTGCTGCATGAGTGATCAAGTCGATCCAATTAAAAATATATATATAGTGTAAGAACTGTAGCGACAATCCAAAAAGGGAATGCAATCTTTGGCTTTTTTCCATTATTACAGAGACATCAGGTTGGTGAGTGTGCCAATGGTGGATGGAAACGACCCGGTTAGCCCCGTGCCGTCTAAACTCCTGGCAGTGGGCAGGGTAGAAGGGGAAAACGAGATGAAAATAAATAAAGCAAGACTGACCTATGATGAATGCGAACGGAACAACGGTGTGTTTACTTGCAAATGGACTACAGAAATACCTTCACTGAGAATGAGAACATTAGCAGCACATTTTGAATCGGATTACGAAGAGCAACAATTCAGACCCAGTGAGCATCGAGATGTCAAGCCAGCATCCGAAGGTGCTAAAGCGAATGACAATCCTCACCAAGGTTACTGTCTGAGGATTCAAAGCTCAGACTCCTGAAAATCATTTCTAACCATACGTATCAAGCTTGCCTACCACTCTCTTCTTCATTTGTCCCTAGCAGTATCTATCAATAGCTGCTGCCAATACGTACCATAACTGCCAGCACCTACCAAAACTGACCTTCTTTTCCACTTCATCCCCTGATCACCGACTCATTGCCATCCTTTACCTGCCATTATTCCTGTCGTTTTCGCCCCTCACCCCCCGCCCTCTTCGAGTTCAGTGACCTTTCCAAGGCAGATTGATAGTTGGACTGGTACCCTTTGCACAGCTACAGCTGGCCCAGCGCCCCTTGCAGGGCGGATTGACAGTGGACAGGCTACAGCTGGACAAATATAATAGACTTCCATCACATTCATTTGCCTGATGAGAAAACCCATTATGCCATTTGCTGTCCGTCACATGCTTGGAAGCCAGTCACTTACAGTGTCTCGAGCATTTCCAGGCTGCCAATATACTCTGGAAAGGGGCCTTTCATGAGTGGATTGGACCCAAGGCTTCTGATGACGCGACAGGAGTGGGAAAGGGTGAAGAGGAATAGGGGAAAGTGGAAAGGGGAGGGAGGGTGGGGTTAATAGGGGGGGTTAAGGAATTGTATTCTGTGCGTTTGGCGAATGAATCACACGAACGGAATCTGGTTGTATGAAGGGCGCCGAGTCCGACCTGACTCGCACAGGTTATCCCGAGCCACGGGGCCACCTGTGGAGTTTTTTTACTCCTTGCGAGCCGACCTCTGTTGATGCCTACTATGATCAGACGATCATCAGTCAGCAGCAAGCAATTCTTTGGTAGTTCTTGCGACTCACAAATATACGTGCGATTCTCCCAAGTAGTAACTATTTCAGCTTATTGCTGTTGCATCTCACAGATACTGCAGCTAAAAGCTGCTGAAGTGTTGGTTCTTGCAGATAATGCTTCTTATGGCTAACAGTTTCGAGCTCTGGTAACTAATAGAATCTCTTGCAGAACCATTAGTTTCTTGCAAGACCCAATTCGTGCAGAGAACAGCAGTTTCTGAGAGGGAGGAAAAAAAAGTTGGACAACCATTTGCAATAATCAGTTGTTGCGACTGACAGTTGTTGGAGGTTGGTCAAGTTGACAAACGTCGAAGGAATGGACCCCGTCAACGAATTTCGGGACAGAGACCTGGTGGTTGTGAAAGGGCTCGCATGGATGTCAAGGTGGGGGGCTCGCATGAATGGCAAGATGGGGGGCTCGCATGAATGGCAAGGTTAGGGACTAATGGACCATGATAGGGTGGCCAGCCAGAAAATATTGTTTCGAACCTTCTATCTGATCTGACGTGCATCCATACAGATGGCAGTGGAGTGTGTGTGTGCTCTCCCCCTGTCTCCAATCCGTCAACGAATGCAGGGCAACCAGAGGCTTGACGAGCCAGCTTGCTACTAGCTCGCCACTAGCCACACTGTAACAAACAAACAAGCTCGTGAATAGCACAAACTGCTATAGTTACTCTTGGAAAACCAGATCTCTTGCTGTTCTTGAGCTGGCAATCTCAAACCTAACCAGATCGCAGGCTCCACCAGTAGACGAAGTGATTGCAGGCTACGGCAAACAACTGAACCAAGCTCAGGTGCGACGAGTATTGGAATGGATTGGACTGGACTACACATCAGATCAGTGTGTAGAACGAAGAGACGGTGGGGGCTGATCTTTTTTTTTTTTTGGGAGGGATGGAGAGGCCCAAGGAGACAAATGAATGTAAAAAACGTTGCACCAACCGTTCGTGTGTTTGCTACTGCCACAGCAAACCACCAAGGCACGTGCTGTATGTGCAAACGCTGTTGCTCCATGCATGCACCCTTCCATTCAGCTACCCATGCTAGGCTCAATAGTGCTCACGTACAGGCGAGACAGGCTGGTGAGACTCCCCAACGACTCTGGAAGGGGTCCCCTAATACTCATGTATGTCAGGACCCTGAGATTTGCAGATATAATTGGCATTGGCATGGGGAGGAGGTGCACGGAAGAAAGATGGACACATAGAGGGATTTAAACAGCGCCCCTTTCTTTAGCAGGTAAACAATATCACGAGGAAAGGTGAATTTATAGTATTCCCCTCATCCTGAAGAGAACATGCTTAGCACTTTCTACTTTCACAAGCTGCCCCAAAGCATTTCGGGCAACAGGCTGGGGTCAGGTCGAGCCCGTGTTGAAGCACGGCCCGTGACAAGCCCGTCTTGGTGCACGGCCTGTGACGAGCCGCATCCTGCAGACCCGTCATAAAAAAGAAGATCCACACAGGTCTGTCGCACAACATGCTAATGATAACAAAAACCGATGAGTGACTGCACTGAAGATTTGTCACAGGCTACACCTGGCCGGCCTATCGCAGACCTACAGATGCCTGACAACCTATGGACACGTGCGACATCCTCATCTGTGGCAACCAAGGTAAGGTACTGGGAAAGCAGCTTGTTCAAGAAGGAGTTGCTACATTTATCATCCACAAATTTTCCACTACTTGTTGGTGAACGGGTCGGGCCTAGGTTTGGACTGGTGTGGAAATACCGCCCAGTCATGGTCCGACAGTGCTGATGGGTTTGGGTTCAGTCGGAGTGCCTCTAACCCAATGGCTTCGCTATGCCTCCATGCCCCATGCTTCTCTCCATGCCCCATGCTTCCCTCCATGCCCCATGCTTCCCTCCATGCCCCATGCTTCCCTCCATGCTCCGTGCTTCCCTCCATGCCCCATGCTTCTCTCCCATGTGCCTCATGTGTTGCATGCATTGGGATCATACCTTGCGCGTTGCACGTGATGTTCTGTTCTGTGACGACTTTTGAGGCGCCTCAATAGTTCCCTCCATGCCCCATGCTTCCCTCCCTCCCATGCCCCATGCGTCACCTACATTGAGTCGATCATGCCTTGCGCGTTGCATGTAATGTTCTGTGCATGTGGCGTCGGCCCATACGGCCCACACATGGCTCCCGTCTCCCACCCATAGAACGTCCTCCCCCACGCCTGCTGGCAGTCCTGCAGCACCGGCACTGAAGGGATGCGAGAGGCAGATGTAACGAATGAGAGTCATGCAACGAGATTCACCCACATCACTCGCAACACAACCCTAACGAGCCCACTACACCGCTCCGTCCGTCTCTCCGTTTTTCAGATGCAAATGCGGACAAGCCGAGCACACGCTGGGGAAACCGACGGGAGAATTTTGAAAATAGACAAACCCGTCGGGGGATGGAGGGAAGCGAGCCTGAAAGCTGTCACGTGGTGGCTTCACGCTCACCTCAACGGTGGAGGTGGGCGACGTCGTTCGAGGCACGGCGAAATGGTGGTAACTTCAGCGACATCATGGTGACATGATTCAATGGAGGGGGGAGAGTCTGAAACGGAGGCGAAATGCGGACCTTGGGAGGGGTCGATGATCACACCACGGACTGGAGAGTACGCAAAATAGGTGAGGAGGCACAGCGCGAGCGCGCCGCCAATAAATTCACGCCTGAAGCGGCCCATGGGCCCGGTCGAACAGCCGCGACGCACCATCTGTGCCTTCGCAACCCTCACGCAAACCTTGTGTTCGTCACGCACTACGAAAAACGCTTCGCTCAACCTGCTCACGGCTAGAAGCTGCTATGTACTTCCTAGACTCCTGGTGGCTTGCTAGCAATCACTGGTTGCAAAAAGTTCAGGTCCCAGATATTGGTGAACGTATGAGCCATCTTTTAGTCGCGCTAATATTTAGCAGTTCGGTTTGGTACGTTTCAGGTAGGTCGCTTTGCAATCTAAATTGTTTCGAGGAAGAGAAGAAAGAACCACGCGCCCACACGTGTTGACCAGGAACGACCACATAGAACCTTGGGGTTTCCGGATCGTTGACGCTGGAGGAAACCTGTTGGAGGAATGAGCTGGCAATCTGACCGCGGGACGAAAAAAACTAAACCCCATCGCGACCGGCATGCCTTCCATGTGGGGTTAATTTTTTTCCTTGCCCGTGGTCAGCTTTGCTGTGTCATTCGACTGCCAGCGTCAGCTGGCAGTCGAATGAACCTTTCAGTGAGTTCGGGCAGGAAATTGTCCCTTCATGTCAGAGGCGTTGCTAAAATTCCCCTTTAAGAATCGCTTCGGATTCGCTTACAAGGAGATACAAAACAAGATATAATCATCCCATAATTTGTCGGAAATGTTTACCTCGTAGCTGCGGTTGGGCAATCTCTGCAGTTTGGGAAGTGGTGTGAGTGAATGAGCATGGTCTGTACCTGGCAGTTTTCTTTACCTTGAAAAGGCTTGTGTATGGGGACCTGCATAATGAATTGCTTCATGCTGCACTCGTTCTGAAAATACAGAACCTCTGAATTTCAGGCTTTCCGGTATCTGGGTGGTGGTGCTTTACCGTAAAATGACTCACAACAGAGCTTTATTTTCTTCGTAGCGGCCAGGTGTACAAGTCAAACATGCACTGCAATAGTTTATAAGACACTCGTGGTAGGTAATAGCCCTCTGTTCTGGGCTTCGCTACACACACCAATCTTGACGAGTTGGGGCTAAGTCACACTGTTACAGGCCAAGGGCACGTGCCATGGCGTCTCTTGTCTCCTTCCCCCCTGCAGTAGACCCACAGCACCTCCCTCTACCCATGGCTTATCCTCTGCGCCAGCCCCGCCGCAACCATCTCCATCTCCGCCCAACAACCTCGGCAAGAGGGGGCACAGGAACGCTGCTACAGGCCAAGCGCACGTGCCATGGCGTCTCTGGTGTCCTTCCCGCCCGCCCTGCAGTAGACCCACAGCAGCTCCTCCCTCTCCCCGTGGCTTATCCTCTGTGCTAGACCCGCCGCCACCATCTCCATCTCCGCCTGCCAGGCATGATGCACAAGGAAGGCGGGGACAAGGAAGGCGGGGACAAGGAAGGCGGGGACAAGGAAGGCGGGGACAAGGAAGGCGGGGACAAGGAAGGCGGGGACAAGGAAGGCGGGGACAAGGAAGGCGGGGACAAGGAAGGCGGGGACAAGGAAGGCGGGGACAAGGAAGGCGGGGACAAGGAAGGCGGGGACAAGGAAGGCGGGGACAAGGAAGGCGGGGACAAGGAAGGCGGGGACAAGGAAGGCGGGGACAAGGAAGGCGGGGACAAGAAAGGCGGGGACAAGGAAGGCGGGGACAAGGAAGGCGTGGGTGGTTGGGGTGAGACAGCGGTGGAATGGGGGGCTCATCCTCTGTGCCAGCCCCGCCACAACCATCTCCATCTCCGCCTGCCAGGCATGATGCACACACAGGTGATGGGTGGGAGGGAAAGGAAGGGTCAGAGTGGGGAGAGCGGGAAGTTAGTGGCGTCAGCCTTGCTGCCGCCATCTCCATCTCCGCCTGCCGGTGTGCACTGCATGCAGGCATGGGCAGGATGGGATGAGGGGCGAGCGGAGGGGGAAGGGGGGGGGGGAGAGTTGGGGGCATCCAAAAGGGGGCAACAGGAGTTGAGTGCGGTGGTGTTGGCCCCGCCGCCACCATCTCCATATCCGCCTGCCAGGCAGGCATGGCCGGGAGGGGGGGGAATTGGAGGGACGAGTGGGTAGAGGCGTCAGAGATGGGGGATTGGAGGGACGAGTGGGTAGAGGCGTCAGAGAGGGGGGATTGGAGGGACGAGTGGGTAGAGGCGTCAGAGAGGGGGGATTGGAGGGACGAGTGGGTAGAGGCGTCAGAGATGGGGGATTGGAGGGACGAGTGGGTAGAGGCGTCAGAGATGGGGGATTGGAGGGACGAGTGGGTAGAGGCGTCAGAGATGGGGGATTGGAGGGACGAGTGGGTAGAGGCGTCAGAGATGGGGGATTGGAGGGACGAGTGGGTAGAGGCGTCAGAGATGGGGGATTGGAGGGACGAGTGGGTAGAGGCGTCAGAGATGGGGGATTGGAGGGACGAGTGGGTAGAGGCGTCAGAGAGGGGGGATTGGAGGGACGAGTGGGTAGAGGCGTCAGAGAGGGGGGATTGGAGGGACGAGTGGGTAGAGGCGTCAGAGAGGGGGGATTGGAGGGACGAGTGGGTAGAGGCGTCAGAGATGGGGGATTGGAGGGACGAGTGGGTAGAGGCGTCAGAGAGGGGGGATTGGAGGGACGAGTGGGTAGAGGCGTCAGAGATGGGGGATTGGAGGGACGAGTGGGTAGAGGCGTCAGAGATGGGGGATTGGAGGGACGAGTGGGTAGAGGCGTCAGAGAGGGGGGATTGGAGGGACGAGTGGGTAGAGGCGTCAGAGAGGGGGGATTGGAGGGACGAGTGGGTAGAGGCGTCAGAGAGGGGGGATTGGAGGGACGAGTGGGTAGAGGCGTCAGAGATGGGGGATTGGAGGGACGAGTGGGTAGAGGCGTCAGAGATGGGGGATTGGAGGGACGAGTGGGTAGAGGCGTCAGAGAGGGGGGATTGGAGGGACGAGTGGGTAGAGGCGTCAGAGATGGGGGATTGGAGGGACGAGTGGGTAGAGGCGTCAGAGAGGGGGGATTGGAGGGACGAGTGGGTAGAGGCGTCAGAGATGGGGGATTGGAGGGACGAGTGGGTAGAGGCGTCAGAGAGGGGGGATTGGAGGGACGAGTGGGTAGAGGCGTCAGAGAGGGGGGATTGGAGGGACCAGTGGGTAGAGGCGTCAGAGAGGGGGGATTGGAGGGACGAGTGGGTAGAGGCGTCAGAGATGGGGGATTGGAGGGACGAGTGGGTAGAGGCGTCAGAGAGGGGGGATTGGAGGGACGAGTGGGTAGAGGCGTCAGAGAGGGGGGATTGGAGGGACGAGTGGGTAGAGGCGTCAGAGATGGGGGATTGGAGGGACGAGTGGGTAGAGGCGTCAGAGATGGGGGATTGGAGGGACGAGTGGGTAGAGGCGTCAGAGATGGGGGATTGGAGGGACGAGTGGGTAGAGGCGTCAGAGAGGGGGGATTGGAGGGACGAGTGGGTAGAGGCGTCAGAGATGGGGGATTGGAGGGACGAGTGGGTAGAGGCGTCAGAGATGGGGGATTGGAGGGACGAGTGGGTAGAGGCGTCAGAGAGGGGGGATTGGAGGGACGAGTGGGTAGAGGCGTCAGAGATGGGGGATTGGAGGGACGAGTGGGTAGAGGCGTCAGAGATGGGGGATTGGAGGGACGAGTGGGTAGAGGCGTCAGAGAGGGGGGATTGGAGGGACGAGTGGGTAGAGGCGTCAGAGAGGGGGGATTGGAGGGACGAGTGGGTAGAGGCGTCAGAGATGGGGGATTGGAGGGACGAGTGGGTAGAGGCGTCAGAGATGGGGGATTGGAGGGACGAGTGGGTAGAGGCGTCAGAGAGGGGGGATTGGAGGGACGAGTGGGTAGAGGCGTCAGAGATGGGGGATTGGAGGGACGAGTGGGTAGAGGCGTCAGAGAGGGGGGATTGGAGGGACGAGTGGGTAGAGGCGTCAGAGAGGGGGGATTGGAGGGACGAGTGGGTAGAGGCGTCAGAGAGGGGGGATTGGAGGGACGAGTGGGTAGAGGCGTCAGAGAGGGGGGATTGGAGGGACGAGTGGGTAGAGGCGTCAGAGAGGGGGGATTGGAGGGACGAGTGGGTAGAGGCGTCAGAGAGGGGGGATTGGAGGGACGAGTGGGTAGAGGCGTCAGAGATGGGGGATTGGAGGGACGAGTGGGTAGAGGCGTCAGAGAGGGGGGATTGGAGGGACGAGTGGGTAGAGGCGTCAGAGATGGGGGATTGGAGGGACGAGTGGGTAGAGGCGTCAGAGATGGGGGATTGGAGGGACGAGTGGGTAGAGGCGTCAGAGAGGGGGGATTGGAGGGACGAGTGGGTAGAGGCGTCAGAGATGGGGGATTGGAGGCACGAGTGGGTAGAGGCGTCAGAGATGGGGGATTGGAGGGACGAGTGGGTAGAGGCGTCAGAGAGGGGGGATTGGAGGGACGAGTGGGTAGAGGCGTCAGAGAGGGGGGATTGGAGGGACGAGTGGGTAGAGGCGTCAGAGGGGGGATTGGAGGGACGAGTGGGTAGAGGCGTCAGAGATGGGGGATTGGAGGGACGAGTGGGTAGAGGCGTCAGAGAGGGGGGATTGGAGGGACGAGTGGGTAGAGGCGTCAGAGATGGGGGATTGGAGGGACGAGTGGGTAGAGGCGTCAGAGATGGGGGATTGGAGGGACGAGTGGGTAGAGGCGTCAGAGATGGGGGATGAGGATTTGAGTGTGGTGGTATTGGCCACCACCGTCTCCATTTCTGCCTGCAGGTGTGCAATGCACGCAGGCATGGAACAAGAGGTGAGAGCAGTAGGGACGGCGGTGTAGCATGTGGCACAGCTCAGGCAGCGGTATGGGCAAGAAAGAGGCATGGGGACGTTGGACGAAATAAGGCGTTGCGAATAGGGCATACCGAGTTGGGAGGAGGGGGCAGGGTGGTGGCGATGCTGGCAAGGCGTTGAAGCTCCTCCTCTGCCTCACTGCGCCGATTCTGCTTCACCAGTGCCTGCCAGCATGCATGACGTGTGGTGCAGTGATGCATGGTGTATGATGTGGGTATGTAGCATGTGGTGCATGGCATGTGGTGCAGGGTGCATGCTGTATGTTGTGACATGCAATGTTGGCAGATACACTTATGGGGTTATAGCGTATTGCGCATAATCTCTAGAGTTTATACGAACCAGCCAAACACACACATGCCCATCCCCACCATACGCATCCCCAATCCCATAACTGGCGCTGATGAAGGCCTCACAGGCCGAAACGCGTACGCCTACTTAGTACTTCTACTTTGAGACTTATCAAGTCCTCATTCATACCTTTTTTCCTAGTCCTACGAAGCAACCCACCCATACTTAGCTGAAAGTTTCAACGGTGACCACACGGCTTGCTGCGTTTCGAATCCTTCATTACTCCGCAAGAGGCTACCCTCGGTTTAACCTACCTCCCTTGACCCTGTCCTTCACCCGAGCCCACCCTTCACCCAGCATGCCTCTCACCCAAACCTGCCTCTCAACCAAACCTGCGTCTCACCCAAGGCTGCATCTCACCCAGGCCTGCAGGAAGGAGGAGCGGGTGCGGGCAGCGAGGGCGGCGAGCACCATGGTGAGCGCGCGGGGAGAGGGCAGACGGACGGCTGCTGCCAGGCAGGCGAGGAAGAGTGGGATGTCCGCTGGAGGGAGGGCGGGGAGGGGGGCGCTGGAGGGTGGAAAGAGGCAGATGATGGAACAAGGAGAGAAGGTATTGGTGTTTCGATGGGAACAGCAGGGTGGGAATGGGCTGGAAGGAGCTATGGCAGGAGACAGAGAGAGCACGGAGGGAGAACAGGGGAACATGAGGGGGAGCAAAAGGAGCATGCAAGGAGGCGAAATTAGTGGCGGAGAGGGGATATAATAACATTCGTGAGGATTCACCCAGCAGCATTGGAAAGGGTTTGATGCTTAAAAGAGGCTTGGGATGCAAGGAGAGCATGCAGTCAGTTGGTGGCGGACGAGAAGGCGGTGCGAATGGCGGCTTTGAATAGACTAATGATTTTAAGCTGGCGAGTGGAACAGCAGTGTGGGAATGGCAGGAAGAAAGGTCGTGGAAGGGTGGCTATGCCGCATGCGGGGGAGCATGAGTGGGGAGCATGAGTGGGGAGCATGAGTGGGGCGTGTGCAAGGAGGTGAAGGAGGGGCGGAGTGGCATCTTTCATTCTAGGCGGGGAGAAAGAGATCATCCCCAACAGCAGCATTGGCAGTGGCGTTAATGGGGGGTCTGCATCTAACAGGGGAGACTGGTGGCCATGGGAGGCGAAGGAGGCCAAGGGGTGAGGTGAAGGAGGCGAAGGAGGCATGCAGTGACCTGGTGGCGGCAGAGAAGGGATGAGAGAGGAGTGCACCCACCCGGCAGCGGCAGAGAAGGCGGTGTTGATGGCAGCTCTGAAGAGCGCGTCGCGGCTGTTGTCCGAATCAATGCCCACCGTGGCCCCACTGCGACGATACGCCGTGTACAGCTGAGGAGGGAGGGGGAAGGGGGGGTAGGGAATACGAGTTGGGAGAGACCAGGTGTAGAGCTGAAGGCGCTGGGGTTTGGGGGGCGGAGAGAGGGGGTTGGGGGGGGGGGGGGGGGGAGGATGGTGAGTTCGTGGGAGAAGGTGTTTGATCTGCTCTGCGATATAGTTACGCAGTGTATGAGCAAGTGTCGGCTACTGTTTCAACCCATGGCCACTGTCTGACCCCATGGCCAGGGAATGGGAGGGTTGCAAGGAATGGGGTGAACTAACAGAGCATGATCGGTAGAGTAAAGGAGCACGCATATGTCACGTGCATGCCACATGCATGCCACATGCATGCCACACGTGCATGCCACACGTGCATGCCACATGCATGCATGCCATGTGCGCACCTGGAGAATGTCTGAGGCGTTGAAATCTTGACCCAACAGCCGCTGACTCAACATGCCTGGTGGTGATGGGTGATTGGGATGGTGCGGTAGAGAAGACAGGAATGTGGATGGTCGGAAGAGAAAGACGTGGGGGGGAGGGGGAGGGGGAAATGCAGCAGCAGGAGCGGGAGTCACAGGGATGAGGATAACAAGTGGAAAACACAGCAGGGAGGGACCACGCAGGTGGAGAATAGCCCTCACGTTGCACAACAAGATGCGCCTCCTCGCTGCCCTCCCTCGCCACGCTCCACGCCCCACCCGCTGCTGCACTCCCCTCTCTTCCAGCTCCTCCTGCTGCTGCTGCGGCTGCTACCATATCAGGCGCTACAGCAGGCGAGGCAGAGGCAGCCATCCCTGCTGCGCCAATGCACGCCTCCCTCCACCACGCCGGCTCCTCCTGCCGCCCAGTCAGCCTCCCCGCGCGCCCTCCACTCCCCGCCTCCCCTGCCAGCAGCCCCAACGCCCGCAGCTCTCTCTCTGATCGCGACGTCTCCGCTGGTAGATCCAACGGACTCACCCCTCTCTGCCTCGCCCCTCCGCCCCTCCTCCACCTCCGCACACCCCCCTCTCTCACACCCATCCCTTTCCCCCCCTCCCGCCCACTCTCCCCCCCTCCGCCCACCCCCTCCCACCACTTGCGCCACCCCTCAGACGCCACCACCTCCTTTCCCCCCATCGACCGGTCCCGCACCACCCGCCTCCCCCTGCCCCTCCCCCCGCCGCTCCCCCACCCCCACTCCCCCCAGCTTAAGTCCCCCTCCGCCCAGCGGAATCCCAGGAGGCGGAAGAAGAGGAGGGGGAGGGAGAGGAGGAGAGAGAGGAGAGCGGAGACAAGGGGGAGGATGCGGGAACGGAAGAGGAGGAGGAAGAGGAGGGAGGCGAGGAGGAGGAGGGGGCGGAGGGAGGAGGGGCGGAGGGAGAGGGAGAGGCGGCCAGAGGGGGAGACAGAGACACAGGAGGTGAGGGAGGAGAAAGAGCGCCTGAAGGTGGTGGGGGGGAGGGAAAAGAGAGGTATAGGTGGGGAGGGGCTGGAAACAGAGTAAGAGAGGAAGGAAAGTGCGGCAAGAGGTGGACGAAAGGGGGAGGGATGTAGGAGGAGAGTGAGGGTGGAAGAGGAGAGAGAGGGTGGAAGAGGAGATGATGGAGGAGGAGAGACGCAAGCGACAGTGAAGGGTGGCTCAACAGAGAAGGGAAGGGAAGGCAAGGAAAGGGCTGCCCTCAATAGATGGAGAAAGAAGAGGCAAGAAAGCAGCAAGGAGAAGTTGCTCTCCTTGAATTCCACACATTCACACTGGCCTCCATGTGCCACTCACCAACCATTTGTCTGGCTCCGTCCCACCCCCCTTACCCCCCCACGCACCGCCCTACCCCCTCACGCACAACCCCCCTCCTCCCTCACGCACTGCCCCCCTCCCCCCTCACGTACATCCGCCCTACCGGTTCCTCAAGCCATCGCCTTGCGCCGCAGCCACCCTCCTCCATTCATCACTATCTGCGCCCCCACCCCTCTCCGCCCATCCCACCCCTCTCCGCCCATCCCACCCCTCTCCGCCCATCCCACCCCTCTCCGCCCATCCCACCTCAACCTCACATCCCGCCTGCTCCTTCTGCCCGCCCTCACGCCCTTCCAACCCCCATTCTTCCCCCAATTATCCTCGCACATTTCCCTAGCGCCCTCCCCTTTTCCCCCTCCTTCTTTCCTCACCCTCTCGCGTCCTCCACCCCTCTCCCCCAACTCGCCCCCCTCTCGCTCCTTCCCCCTCCCCACTCTCTTTCCCCCTCGCCCTCACCGCATATTATCAGAAGCTCGCTCCCCCAACACCCCTGCTGACGTCAGCAGCCGTTTACCACCGCTCTGCACCGCATCCGCCCCCATCTTGACCGTCTCCCCCACATCCTCAACCCGCAAAGTTTTCAGCCGGGCAGCTGCTTGCAGCGCGTTTTGTTTCACCTGCCCGAGATCCAGCTCCATCCTCCATACGTCTTCCTCCTCGCTCCTCCCCCCGTCGCCACTCCTGCTCCCTCCTCCGCCGCTTCGCCCACCCGGCGCCTTACCACCCCTTCCCCCTTCCACCCCGCTCCTCCCCTCCAACGATTTCAGCCTATCAGCAGCCGCCTTATCAGCGGCCGTCCTATCACGATCGGCCACGTGTCTTTGTGGCTCGGGCTCTCGTCGGCGGTGGTGTCTGCGACCATTGCTGGCAGCGAGGATGACAATAGCGGGTCGACGGGAAGATGAGCGGAACGGGACGATGCGAGACGAGGGCATACGGGAGAGAAACGACGAACGCGTGCGACATAATGAGTCTGTGCGACACTTTTCCGACTCTGTGCGACATAGCGGCTGCGTGCGACACGCTGACCAGTGGAGGGTTGAGGCCATGCTGAGGTTGTCTCTCAGAATGGGAACATGCTAGGTTCGCATGATATGCGGCTCTGATTGCGCGCAGGAATCGTCGCAGGACTCCTGGAGTCGCGATTTAACTCGTTGCAAACACTGGTACCGAGCGCACAGCAGATGACAGGAGACGGAGCGTGTTGTGGGACTTTCATGTGAAAGAAACGGGCGTTCAACAAAAATCGCATGCTTCTGCGCGTTGATACGAACATAGTCATAAACGCAGGAAAAAATAACAGTGTACAAAATGCTTGCGATGTAACGAGGACGGCTTCACAACTGAAAAACCGTGTCCCGCACTGGGTTGACCAATCAACGACGCGATGCCACGTTGTTGGCTGCTGCTCCACTCGAAAGCCAACATCACCACAGCTCAGCCGTACTGAACCCTGCTTGTCTCCCTCCAACACCTAAAACTTACAGATTACCACACCACACCTCCCAGAACAAGCCCCACCTTACAATTGTTGCTCGCATATACAAGCGTGACCTAAATTTGGGTATCACAGGTTGCTTGACTTGAGTCCTCTTGCCGTAGTAGCTGCCCCAAACAACAACTCCAGCAGTGCTCGTCGCGTGAAGTGAGCGAGGCGTGCGCGCAGCTCAAACACCGAATTTTGCGCGCGTCGATCGCACTCGAGCTAGGTGGCGCTGCTCGACCTGTGCATCCCGCGCGACTCGCTCATGATTCACGCGGTGCTGCGGCGACAGTAGCCATGCCGTACATCCGACAAGGTGCGCCTCGTAAGCTATTAGGGTTCTCAACTTGTGTGTTTCTTATTCTGCTCGACCTGTGCGCCGCACTGCTGTGGCGACAGTAGCCATGCCGTACATCCGACAAGGTGGGCCTCGTAGCGTAGCGTGCTGGCGCTCTCGACGTCTCTTGCGCGGATTTTATTTGTTACTGAAGGGAAGGACGGAGTGTCAGAAGCGAGCCAGAGGTATGACCCCACGCAACCGGCGTTGACTTTTGAGTAGACCAAAAAGCCACCTCAGCGGTGAGCGTGCGGCGAGGAGACGAATCGCAAGCGAGTGACCGTGTCGTCTGCGCTCACCGCGCTGCTCGCCTTCTCGTCAACCACTTCTTCCCTCACGGGAGGAAACGGTTGACGCTTGTCTCGTCGCTGCCTGCGCGCTCGTGCTGTCCTGCAGACCGCGGCCACCCGTCGTCACTCCGCCGCCCAGGTTCTCTCTAACCACCGCAGCAGCGCCGCGTGAACCATGGGCGACTCGCCCGCAACTGTCACGCTGTCCCCCGCGCCATTCCGTTCCCACTCCCACCACGCGTTTCTAACCTTTCCAGTATCCCACTGCGGTTGTCAGTGGGGGCCCTCCAGGGAAACCCACACACGTCACGCCTCCGTCTTGCCTGTACGTCTACGTCTGGTTCTGTATAGCGCCGATGCGCGCACCTGCTCAATTGACATCTTCAGCAGCGCCTCTGCGCCACAGCCGACGCCCTCCGCGCTCGTCTCGTCGCCGTTCCCTTCCGCGCGACTCGTCCTCCGCTCCCTCCGCTCCCTCCTCCTCCTCACTCTTGCATGCCTCATTCTCCCCCGCCCTCGCCCTGGTTCCTCCTTGTAGTCGCTTGAACGCGCATCACAAATGAGGTGTTCAGCAGGAAAAGGGGGAGGCGGGAAAGGTGGGGGACGTGGGGACTAGGGACCAGCGGTCTGGGAGGGGGACCATTGCACCGACCGCCTGCAGTGCGCACTTATTGTCAGCGAGACGGCACTGCACCGCAACGCACCACGGTTGTTCAACCCTGCCACCTCCCATGCCAATCTCGTCCTTCTCCCTGTTTCACCGTCCGCTTCCTCCCTCCCTCTACCTCCTCCCCTCCCCTCCTCTTCTCCTACCCTCCCCTCCTTCCCTCCCACCACCAGGCGAGGTGGTGGAGCGTTTGTCGCCACGGCAGCTCGCCACGTGTGTTGATCCTTCTTCTCGTTCTGTCCTCTCGCCTCCTTACCGTCCCTCATTTCCTCCCCAACCCGTCTCTCCCCACCAGGCGAGGTGGTGGAGCGCCTGTCGCCATGGCAGCTCGCCTTCTACGTCGACTTTTTCCGCCGCCTCTTCCGAATCATCAAGATGTTCTTCTACACCCTCTTCTCGGTACACTCTCCTAAGCTTTCCTTTTCCCAGTTTGTCGCCATGCTTTCCATCACAGTCCGCCTCTTCTATCGCTCTCTCGCCCTCGCATTTCCCTCGCGTTCGCCAGGTAATTGCTAAAGAAACACTGAAAAGCACGAGTGCAGTAGGGAGTGTGCTAAGGGAATGTCGACAGCAAATCACCCTTCTCCTTCTCGCCACTCTTGTGTTAGAAAAAAACCGACAGCCAATCTTGCGTAGAAATGGCTGTAAGCTGTGTTGGCGCAGAATTACTTCTTCATACCACTCTTCCCGTTCGCTGTACTCCCCCCTCTGGATATTCCCCCCATCCCAGCTTCTCATCATGCCCTCCATTGCAGTCCTCCTCTTTTCACTCCCTCTCGCCCGCCCTTGCTGGCCTCGCACTGGCTCGCTGCCAGCTGATCACGATAGAGTTACAGAGCGTCGCGGGTGCACTCAAGCTTGTGGTAACTCTAAGCAACTCACTCTCTTTCCTTCTCGTCCCCTTTTTCTTCGCCTTACCTCCACGTCTTGTGTGCATGCGCGCACAGCCTGACGCGGCGGGGGTCAAGAAGACCAAGGGCAGAGGAGGGGGGGGACAGGGCGCATGGGGGGGCAGCTCTGGGGGCGGAGGGGGTGGGGGAGGGGGAGGCGGAGGAGGAGGGGGCGGTCCTAGGAGGGGAGTTGGAGGGATGAGCAACGTGCGGGGCATTGACCATTGTGAGTTGGTGTATCAGTGGGCCATGGACGGGCGTGTGCGGATTCTGCACAGGAGGGATTCAGGGAAGGAGGGATGAGCGGACTCGTGATTCAAGCTTCTCTCTGCCAATAACTGCTTGCCACTTCTTTTACTCGAGCCCCCCCTTCCCCCCCTCCTTCTTCCACCACCCCATAACCCCTCCTTTGTGGTTTTGTGTGCATGTCTGCTGTTTCACAATAAAATACCTGCTTCCCTTACATGCCCTCCTCCCGGTCCACCTCTCTCTCCCTTTCCTGTCTGCTTTCCACTCTCCCAGGTGCTTCTGCGGCGGGTGCCTGAGGTCGGTAAGGCACTCCGCCTGCTGCCGCTGACACCGGCCCCCCTCAACTCATGTCATGAGACGGGAGGGTGGAGTCAGAGCAGCCACGTGCTCCTCTCATGTGCCGCTGCTGCACGTGCATGTGTGTGCGTGGAGCCACACACACCACATGTGTTGTGTGGTGAGGCCATGGGCTTGAGTGCGTGAGGGTGGAGTGCCGCGATCTTGCCACCAGCAGCGGCTGCGGTGCCGGCTGCTGGCAGTGGTGGCTGGGCGGCAGAGTCAACCGCACATGCATGCAGGCATGGTTGCACCCATGGCACGGCATCATGCAGCGATGCAGTGGTGCCATGGTGTGACTATTATGCCTGCAGCAGTGCGGCCATGCGCAGTGTACATGACGCGGGCCGTGGGAAAACCTGTGAGGGCACCATGGCTGCCGACCCAACGCTGTGCCATGGACTGCTGTCGCCCAGACCGAGGGGAGTGTGGAGGGTGGGGTGGGCGCTGATGCATGTGCTTGTGTTGGCCGATGTACAGAAGATTGTGTAGAAATGATGCGGTTTGAAATATGGTACAATATTGTAATAAAATCATTGTGGAATATACTTGGCTGGTGCATCCCGTTCATTAATGCCCTGTTTGGGAGCAGCGCAATCAAAAGGATGAGCACAAAATGGGTGATCCGGATCACGTCAGTAGGTTCCGAGCCTAATAATAATGAAAAATAACCACTTGCAAAATTGTGTAGTCTTCTCGATTATGTTTTAATACCCGCATTTTTTAGACATGTATCGGAGCAGGCACACAGCAGCCCATTCAACGAGCCCTCACTTCCACCTGGCGTTAGGCAGCAGTGTCTTCGCCGTGCCTGTCGTTCCACAGTCGGCGTGCTGAACAGCATAACCGTGCGCGCGGAGGTCACGCGTAGACGGCCTCGAGTGTAGCTCCCCCAGAATGCACGGCGCACTCAGCCTGGTGACCGGCACGGTGAACTCACTGGCAGTCGCACCACGCGCAGTTCCTCTTGTGCAAGCGAGCGCTTTAATTTGCAACCAGGGAGGCGCAGCGATGGTAATTAGGGTTTCCGGGATGTGACAACATCCGGGCAGCGAGTATAGCTCGAAAATCTTGAATTCTCCATTGTGAATATTAGCAGCCGCACGCTCCGCTAATGCCATCGGAAGACATTGCCGTGACGGCATTGCGCTATCAGCAGCAGCATTGTCGTGAACTACCCAGAAATTCGCGACTGTCAATGTGCCTCTAACACATTGCCGATTTACATGTTTGTGATGGCTGTCACGCGGGTTGCGGCGGCGCTGCTTATGGTCGCCGCCGCCGCCGTCGCCGCCTCCGCTGGTGAAGGGCCCGTCGCGAGCGGGGCGTTAGCGAGAGCGAGAGTGGGCGAGTTGATTGGGGTATGGCGGCGAAATGGTTCGCACGGTGAGGCGCGGGATGACCGTGGATGGCGCGTGGGTGGGAACGATGATGTTTGGAAGGGGTATGAGGTTGAAACGAGCACGAGGGGGGATGTCGTGAGTGATCGTGTGATTGGGGGATTACTCGAAGGCGCTGACAGTGACGGAGGTGACAGTGACGGAGGTGACAGGGACGGAGGTGACAGTGACGGAGGTGACAGTGACGGAGGTGACAGTGACGGAGGTGGCGGTGACGGAGGTGACGGAGGTGACGGAGGTGATGGTGAGAGTGAAAGTGTTGATGGCGACGATGTGGGTGGGTGGTTGCCAGGCCGGCAGTCGCAGCTGGACGCGAGTGGCGGCGACGAGAAGGGGACGCGGCGGCGGTCGCCAAGGGGCGCGCGGTGGGAGGGGCAGGGGGAGCGGAAGCGGGAGGGGAGGCGGGAAGCGTCGCGGGGAAGGGAGGTGGTGGAGACACGTGGAGCTTCAGTGGGCGGAGAGGCGCGCAGGCGAGGGGAGGGCAGGCGAGGCACGGGTGGGCGACGCAGGCTGGCAGATGGGCAAGGCAGTGAGGGGGGTGGTGGCAGTGACGTGAGCAGCGATGGGCATGCGGTCATGCACGTGGGCGCGCGTGGCGGCATGGCGGGCCCTGGGGTGTGGGCGGACGGAGTTAAACGGCACACGCGGCGGGCAGGAGACAGATGTTGGAGCCAATGGGAGATGCGCATGTATGTCACGGTGAGATGCATGTATGTCACGGTGAGATGCATGCATGTCATGGTTAGATTTAGCTCTTGCCTTTTCTCTTGTTTCACCGTTCCCTCCTCGCCTCTTCTCCTCCTCTTCCTGTCCCCTCGGTCTCAAGCCTCACTCACGCACCCATTAGCCCCGCCCGTCTGCATGGCCTCTGCATTGCGCCTCCCCCTCTGACTTTTGAATCACCTCGTTGCATGGCCTCTGCGTCGCGCCCCCCCCTCGGGGTGCAAGGCAGCGTCCTGATCGCCAGCTGCCGCCATCGATGGCGTTGAGGCGGCGTCTGTCGGAGTACCGTCGGATGCACCGCCGCTGCACTCAGATCCACGACTGGCACGCCTTCTACAGCAACCCGTGAGCCTTCTACAGCAACCCGTGAGCCTTCTACAGCAACCCGTGAGCCTTCTACAGCAACCCGTGAGCCTTCTACAGCAACCCGTGAGCCTTCTACAGCAACCCGTGAGCCTTCTACAGCAACCCGTGAGCCTTCTACAGCAACCCGTGAGCCTTCTACAGCAACCCGTGAGCCTTCTACAGCAACCCGTGAGCCTTCTACAGCAACCCGTGAGCCTTCTACAGCAACCCGTGAGCCTTTTATCACAACCCGTGAGCCTTTTATCACAACCCGTGAGCCTTTTATCACAACCCGTGAGCCTTTTATCACAACCCGTGAGCCTTTTATCACAACCCGTGAGCCTTTTATCACAACCCGTGAGCCTTTTATCACAACCCGTGAGCCTTTTATCACAACCCGTGAGCCTTTTATCACAACCCGTGAGCCTTTTATCACAACCCGTGAGCCTTTTGTCACAACCCGTGAGCCTTTTATCACAACCCGTGAGCCTTTTATCACAACCCGTGAGCCTTTTATCACAACCCGTGAGCCTTTTATCGCAACCCGTGAGCCTTTTATCGCAACCCGTGAGCATTTTATCACAACCCGTGAGCCTTTTATCACAACCCGTGAGCCTTTTATCACAACCCGTGAGCCTTTTATCGCAACCCGTGAGCCTTTTATCACAACCCGTGAGCCTTTTATCGCAACCCGTGAGCCTTTTATCACAACCCGTGAGCCTTTTATCACAACCCGTGAGCCTTTTATCACAACCCGTTTGCCTTTTATCACAACCCGTGAGCCTTTTATCGCAACCCGTGAGCCTTTTATCACAACCCGTGAGCCTTTTATCGCAACCCGTGAGCCTTTTATCACAACCCGTGAGCCTTTTATCACAACCCGTGAGCCTTTTATCACAACCCGTGAGCCTTTTATCGCAACCCGTGAGCCTTTTATCACAACCCGTGAGCCTTTTATCGCAACCCGTGAGCCTTTTATCACAACCCGTGAGCCTTTTATCACAACCCGTGAGCCTTTTATCACAACCCGTGAGCCTTTTATCACAACCCGTGAGCCTTTTATCACAACCCGTGAGCCTTTTATCACAACCCGTGAGCCTTTTATCACAACCCGTGAGCCTTTTATCACAACCCGTGAGCCTTTTATCACAACCCGTGAGCCTTTTATCGCAACCCGTGAGCCTTTTATCACAGCCCGTGAGCCTTTTATCACAACCCGTGAGCCTTTTATCACAACCCGTGAACCTTTTATCACAACCCGTGAGCCTTTTATCACAACCCGTGAGCCTTTTATCACAACCCGCAAGCCTTTTATCACAACCCGTGAGCCTTTTATCACAACCCGTGAGCCTTTTATCACAACCCGTGAGCCTTTTATCACAACCCGCAAGCCTTTTATCACAACCCGTGAGCCTTTTATCACAACCCGTGAGCCTTTTATCACAACCCGTGAGCCTTTTATCACAACCCGTGAGCCTTTTATCACAACCCGTGAGCCTTTTATCGCAACCCGTGAGCCTTTTATCACAACCCGTGAGCCTTATATCGCAACCCGTGAGCCTTTTATCACAGCCCGTGAGCCTTTTATCACAACCCGTGAGCCTTTTATCACAACCCGTGAGCCTTTTATCACAACCCGCAAGCCTTTTATCACAACCCGTGAGCCTTTTATCACAACCCGTGTGCCTTTTATCACAACCCGTGAGCCTTTTATCACAACCCGTGAGCCTTTTATCACAACCCGCAAGCCTTTTATCACAACCCGTGAGCCTTTTATCACAACCCGTGAGCCTTTTATCACAACCCGTGAGCCTTTTATCACAACCCGTGAGCCTTTTATCACAGCCCGTGAGCCTTTTATCACAACCCGTGAGCCTTTTATCACAACCCGCAAGCCTTTTATCACAACCCGTGAGCCTTTTATCACAACCCGTGAGCCTTTTATCACAACCCGTGAGCCTTTTATCACAACCCGCAAGCCTTTTATCACAACCCGTGAGCCTTTTATCACAACCCGTGAGCCTTTTATCACAACCCGTGAGCCTTTTATCACAACCCGTGAGCCTTTTATCACAACCCGTGAGCCTTTTATCACAACCCGTGAGCCTTTTATCGCAACCCGTGAGCCTTTTATCACAACCCGTGAGCCTTTTATCACAACCCGTGAGCCTTTTATCACAACCCGTGAGCCTTTTATCTCAACCCGTGAGCCTTTTATCACAACCCGTGAGCCTTTTATCACAACCCGTGAGCCTTTTATCACAACCCGTGAGCCTTTTATCACAACCCGTGAGCTCTCCGATTCCATGCCTCTGCTGTTTCTAATCCAAGCATCTGCCGTTTCTAATCCAATCATCCTCCATACCTCGCCCATACCTCTGCTGTTGCTATTCCACGTCTTTGCTGTTGCCATTCCGCGCCTTTGCTGTTGCTATTCCACGCCTTTCTCGCATCGCCCATCTGTGTGTGCACCCATCGCCCCATCAATTGCTTTGTGGTGGGGGGTGGAGGGGGCAGGTCCATGGGATGGAAGGACGGCATTGATGGGCTGGGGAACTGCAAGTATCTCTTCTATATGCCGCCTGCCCGCCATGGTAAGCGAAGAAAAAATATGTTAGCCGGTAGATATGATCACGAGTCGAGTCGAGTCGAGTCACCTCGATTCGCGGTCAAGTCGGGAGTCGCGTCGAGTCGAGTCGAGTCAAGCCTTGACGCGAGCACGAGTCATAAACTCGCAAGTCAGTCTTGACTCGACGTGGGCCAAGTTGGACTATGAATACATGGGAGGGTTGAAACTGGGTTCAGGAAGGTTGAGCTGGAGACGACAGGGACTGGAGGGGGACTTTACCTTTAAGCGTTTTCGTAGCCGTGTCATGCAAGGTAGGAATGACGAAATTGAGTGACGGGGGGGAATTGGGTGACGGGGGGATTTGCGTGACAGGCGGAAATTGGGTGACGGGGGAATTTGCGTGACAGGCGGAAATTGAGTGTCGGGGGGGGATTTGCGTGACAGGCGGAAATTGAGTGTCGGGGGGGGATTTGCGTGACAGGCGGAAATTGAGTGTCGGGGGGGGGATTTGCGTGACAGGCGGAAATTGAGTGTCGGGGGGGGATTTGCGTGACAGGCGGAAATTGAGTGTCGGGGGGGGATTTGCGTGACAGGCGGAAATTGAGTGTCGGGGGGGGGGATTTGCGTGAGAGGCGGAAATTGAGTGTCGGGGGGGGATTTGCGTGACAGGCGGAAATTGAGTGTCGGGGGGGGATTTGCGTGACAGGCGGAAATTGAGTGTCGGGGGGGGATTTGCGTGACAGGCGGAAATTGAGTGTCGGGGGGGGATTTGCGTGACAGGCGGAAATTGAGTGTCGGGGGGGGATTTGCGTGACAGGCGGAAATTGAGTGTCGGGGGGGGATTTGCGTGACAGGCGGAAATTGAGTGTCGGGGGGATTTGCGTGACAGGCGGAAATTGACTGTCGGGGGGGGGATTTGCGTGACAGGCGGAAATTGAGTGTCGGGGGGGGATTTGCGTGACAGGCGGAAATTGAGTGTCGGGGGGGGGATTTGCGTGACAGGCGGAAATTGAGTGTCGGGGGGGGATTTGCGTGACAGGCGGAAATTGAGTGTCGGGGGGGGATTTGCGTGACAGGCGGAAATTGAGTGTCGGGGGGGGATTTGCGTGACAGGCGGAAATTGAGTGTCGGGGGGGGATTTGCGTGACAGGCGGAAATTGAGTGTCGGGGGGGGGATTTGAGTGACAGGCGGAAATTGAGTGTCGGGGGGGGATTTGCGTGACAGGCGGAAATTGAGTGTCGGGGGGGGATTTGCGTGACAGGCGGAAATTGAGTGTCGGGGGGATTTGCGTGACAGGCGGAAATTGAGTGTCGGGGGGGGATTTGCGTGACAGGCGGAAATTGAGTGTCGGGGGGGGGATTTGCGTGACAGGCGGAAATTGAGTGTCGGGGGGGGGATTTGCGTGACAGGCGGAAATTGAGTGTCGGGGGGGGATTTGCGTGACAGGCGGAAATTGAGTGTCGGGGGGATTTGCGTGACAGGCGGAAATTGAGTGTCGGGGGGGGATTTGCGTGACAGGCGGAAATTGAGTGTCGGGGGGATTTGCGTGACAGGCGGAAATTGACTGTCGGGGGGGGGATTTGCGTGACAGGCGGAAATTGAGTGTCGGGGGGGGATTTGCGTGACAGGCGGAAATTGAGTGTCGGGGGGGGGATTTGCGTGACAGGCGGAAATTGAGTGTCGGGGGGGGGATTTGCGTGACAGGCGGAAATTGAGTGTCGGGGGGGGGATTTGCGTGACAGGCGGAAATTGAGTGTCGGGGGGGGATTTGCGTGACAGGCGGAAATTGAGTGTCGGGGGGATTTGCGTGACAGGCGGAAATTGAGTGTCGGGGGGGGATTTGCGTGACAGGCGGAAATTGAGTGTCGGGGGGGGGATTTGCGTGACAGGCGGAAATTGAGTGTCGGGGGGATTTGCGTGACAGGCGGAAATTGACTGTCGGGGGGGGGATTTGCGTGACAGGCGGAAATTGAGTGTCGGGGGGGGATTTGCGTGACAGGCGGAAATTGAGTGTCGGGGGGGGGATTTGCGTGACAGGCGGAAATTGAGTGTCGGGGGGGGATTTGCGTGACAGGCGGAAATTGAGTGTCGGGGGGGGATTTGCGTGACAGGCGGAAATTGAGTGTCGGGGGGATTTGCGTGACAGGCGGAAATTGAGTGTCGGGGGGGGGATTTGCGTGACAGGCGGAAATTGAGTGTCGGGGGGGGATTTGCGTGACAGGCGGAAATTGAGTGTCGGGGGGGGGATTTGCGTGACAGGCGGAAATTGAGTGTCGGGGGGGGGATTTGCGTGACAGGCGGAAATTGAGTGTCGGGGGGATTTGCGTGACAGGCGGAAATTGACTGTCGGGGGGGGGATTTGCGTGACAGGCGGAAATTGAGTGTCGGGGGGGGATTTGCGTGACAGGCGGAAATTGAGTGTCGGGGGGGGGATTTGCGTGACAGGCGGAAATTGAGTGTCGGGGGGGGATTTGCGTGACAGGCGGAAATTGAGTGTCGGGGGGGGGATTTGCGTGACAGGCGGAAATTGAGTGTCGGGGGGGGGATTTGCGTGACAGGCGGAAATTGAGTGTCGGGGGGATTTGCGTGACAGGCGGAAATTGACTGTCGGGGGGGGGATTTGCGTGACAGGCGGAAATTGAGTGTCGGGGGGGGGATTTGCGTGACAGGCGGAAATTGAGTGTCGGGGGGATTTGCGTGACAGGCGGAAATTGAGTGTCGGGGGGATTTGCGTGCCGAGCGGAATGTGAGTGATGGTCGGAGATTCAGTGACGAGGAAAGGAGGGGGGATTGACAACGGGAGCCCACGTGGATAAAATTGGTGGCCCTCGAGTCAGCCGACTCGCCGACTTGTGGCTCACCAGACTGTCCAAGGTCGAGTCGGGCGATGCATCGAGATTTCTCCTCAATTCGACTCGACTCGACTCTACTCGAGTCAGGAAATAAAAATAACTGACTCGACTCGACCTAAAGTCGAGTCGAGCCAGCGAGTCGAGCTAAAACGCCCCTCGATTGATCATGTCTATTAGCCGGAGAGACACAAGTTGTTGATACTTCTCAAAATCTGATGGGACGAAGATAAATGTGGGGTCCCAATCCTGACTGGATCCCACGTACCGCCTGCTCCCGGCTATCGCAAGCTTTGCGCGATGCACCGGCACGCTCGTTTGTTCTGTATGGTGCGCGCTGGAAATATGTGACGGCCCAGAGCTACTGGGAATCGTGGTGTGCACATGCATGCGCTAAGAAAGCTCCCGAGAGCAAATGGAAGGCTGAGCGGGGTGCAAAGAAGCGTGTGAGAAAGCAGCTCAAGTCCGTCCATTGGTGTGTATGTAAGGCCATTATGCCACTGGTGAGGATGGTTGCTGGCGTCCTGTGCATGCGCCCCTCAAATCCCTTTCCCCACCTGTGCCGTGCCTTCCCCCGCTACATGGGTGCAGGGGTGGGCAATCGCATAATGGCGCTCATCTCAGCCTTTTCCTACGCGCTGCTCACCAACCGCACGCTCATCATCCCGCCCAACTCCTTCCTCGTCCGCTTCTTCTGCGACCCCTTCCCCGGCTCCTCCTGGACCATCCCGCTCGACGCCTTCAAGTCAGTCCTCATGCATGCATGCAAGCTGGGTGCACAGTACCCCATACATGGAATTTGGGTGCACAGTACCCCATGCATGGAATCTGGGTGCACAGTACCCCATGCATGGAATCTGGGTGCACAGTACCCCATGTATGCAACCTGGGTGCTACCCTGTGCCTCATTACTGTTCTGCTCTGCTCTGCACCCCTCCGACTCCTCTGAGGTTGGCTCTGTACTTGTGTGCTGTGCTGTCCACCTCTAAGGCACGCACCGGGTCTGCACGTCCCCTCCGCTCCACTGTCTTTCGCATGCTCTCCTCACATGCCCTCCTTGCACGATTTCCTTCTTTCCCTCCCAATTATCCTCGCCACGTCGTGCACCCCATCGCACCTGCCCCACCCCCACCCCCCGCCCCCAGCACCATATCCCAGACAGTGCACAGGTCGCCGGCACGCAATCGAGGCATCGTCGATGGATGGGATGGCCATGACGTCAGCATGCACATGTCATGGGAGTGAGTGACGTCAGCATGTACATGTCATGGGAGTGAGTGACGTCAGCATGCACATATCATGGGAGTGAGTGATGTTCAGGGTAAAAAATAATGTTTGTTTTTCCTGAAATTTACCGTAAATGTGGGTATGGTACAAAACAGTCATATAATAATGTAGGTGTCTTATACAGTCGTCGAGCAGGAGGAAGAGTAATCCATCAGATTAATAAGCACAATTGTTAGCCTTTTCTTGCAAGTTTCCGTTTATAGCAATATTTGGAATTCTATCCGACGTCTTCTTTTTCTCTGTTTAAAAAAAGCGGCCGATATATGTATATAAAAATAAAAAAGTTAACTGTACAAAACGGACCTTATTTTACCGACATTTTTTTAACTTGGTGACGCCGGCATGCACATGTCATAGGAGTGAGTGATGTCAGCAAGCACATGGAGCTCTTGCTGCTGCCAGCATGCTGCGCATGTATTCTTTGTGGCTCATAAAGAGCAAACTCCATGGCGAGGCTCGGATCCCAATGGAGCAGCACCTGCTGCTGCTCACCCCGTGCATGCCTGCCCTCCTTGCTTGCTCTCCACACCCCCTCATCCCCCCAATTTTCCATTTCTCGCTGATCTTTCCACTCCCTCCTCTCCCCCCACCCACGGCTAGCTCCAAGGCGGACACATGGGGCATGTTCTGTGAGGTGGAGCAGCAGGCCATGGCAACAGCACGCTTCGCCACGCTCTACACCGACTACTTTCTCGTGCCGCACTTTTACATGGTGCCCATGCTGCAGGTAGGTACAGTGCCCATGCTGCAGGTAGGTATGGTGCCCATGCTGCAGGTAGGTACGGAGCCCATGCTGCAGGTACAGTGCCCATGCTGCAGGGTACAGTGCTACATTCGTTAAGGTGAGTTGCAAAGAGCTCATTGCAGCTGCACTTGTTTTGCTGCGGCTACTGCACCACCTACTACTACTAGGTAAGGTGTACCCAAGCTCACTTCCAAGCAGATCCTTTGAGGCGTCCTTTTTGGCTCTACGCCTCATTGGCATCAGCTGAGACGATTTTAGCCCGTGGTTGCGTGCGGCACAGCACCGGTGTGGAAGGAGAGGAACGGTTGCACCTTCTGATGCGGCGAGTACATAGACTGAGCTCTATATAGCCGTGAGAGCAGGGTTACAGAACAGGCTGACGACTCAAAAGCGAGTTGCTGTATAAGAGAGAGGTGGCAGGGGAAGCTTCAGCAGACACGCCCGTGGTGATCTATGTTGGAATTGACGCGTCAAGAGTCAATGACGCTAGAGTCAAAACGCTAGAGTCAAGACGCTTGACGCTACTTTGGGAGTTTTTTGACGCAGGTTTGACGCACTGGCGGGCAGCCTAAAACTTTCTTCCGGGCAGGGGGGAAATTTTTGTAGGGGGAGAAGATGGGGACAATGTGAAGGGGTCGACCCAAATCCTGAATTTTCCAGAGTGTGAATTTTTTTTTTCCTATATTAAATAGAGTCAAGCATGCATACATAGGTCATCACAAGAACTTGCATGGTTCTACCTATGAGTACTTATCACAAGTACTCACATGGTCCTCCTCCAACCATCCCACACCTCCCACTCTATGGCTCGTCAGCCATCAATTTCCAGGCCTCCTCTGGCTCCTCCTCAGGCCTCCTCTGGCTCCTCCTCAGGCCTCCTCTGGCTCCTCCTCAGGCCTCCTCTGGCTCCTCCTCAGGCCTCCTCTGGCTCCTCCTCAGGCCTCCTCTGGCTCCTCCTCAGGCCTCCTCTGGCTCCTCCTCAGGCCTCCTCTGGCTCCTCCTCCTCCGGCTCATACTCGTCAGCCAGCAAGTCGTCCTCATCCTCCTCCAGCACCTCCTCCTCCGCCCCCTCCTTGACGACATAGCCAGTAGGGATGGGGGGCTCAGGGATATTCCCCTCCATGACCCCCATCCCCTCCTCTGGACCCTTGTGCCAGTTGCGCACAACGTTCCAGTTGTGCGCAACGTACACGAGGTCACGGCATTTTTCAGAGCTGAGCCTGTTGCGACGCGCCGTGTGCACCGATTCCCAAACCGCCCAGTTACGCTCGCACGATGCAGCAGAAACCGGCTGGGAAAGCACACGGCGTGCAATCCTCGCGAGCTCGGGGCATGTGCTCCCATGCCACTTCCACCAAAGCACTGCGCTCACGTGAAAAAAGGAGTGTTTTGAGACGTCTCAAAACAATCCTCGCGAGCTCGGGGCATGTGCTCCCATGCCACTTCCACCAAAGCACTGCGCTCATTTTCCCCGCCTTCACCTTCTCCCGAGCAGCCACCGCATCCGGCTGCCCAAAGCTCCCAACCCCATCCAGGTAGGCCGAAACCCCCTCCTCCAACGACATCCCCGACCCCGACGTGCCAGCTCCCTTCCTGTACTTCACCAGGTAGGAGTTCGCGCGGGAGATGAACTCCTTGAACACACGCGTGCACTCTGCATCCTCCCCAAAAATCTCCTGATCTTGGTTGGCCGGATTCAAAATCCGGCCAGCCACATGCAAGGGGCATGCCAAGGAGTGATCCCATCGCTCCTTGACAATGCGTGACACCTCCCTCTTTTCCGCCCTGCTCAGCTGCTGCTCGTCTGCATCCAGCACCGCCTCAACATCCTCGGTAAGTTGGAGCATGAGGTCGTACATACGACCCATCATGCCCTTAGCAGCCGAGTCCGTTGCCCGCATGGTTTTGAAAGGGATCTGCATCAGCTTCACGAAAAACGCTGCCCCCTTCCACCACGCCAGAGCCATAACCCAACTCTTAAACTGCTCCCCCGTCACCTTGCGCTTCCCCACCGCCCACCCATCCCAAACCTCACCAATGACCATCTGTGTCAGATGCGATTGCAGCTCGAGAAGGCGGGAAAGAGCGATATACTGAGTCCCAAACCTCGTTCCCGCGGGACGCAGCGGCTGCAGCACCTTCAAACCATGGAGTTCAGGGGTCCTCAAGAAAGCCCGGGTCCAATGGTGCTTGCGCAAGAAGGTGACAATCTCGGAGCCGCGGTCGACAATCTTCTTGGCCCAATTCATTTTGCCCACGTCCTCCATGAGCAGATCGAGTACATGGGTGGCGCAGGCCACGTGCTCAATGTGCGGCCATTTCGCCACCAACTTCCGACCTGCAGCGGCGTAGTTGCTGCCGCCATCAGTGCACAGCGCCACGACGTTCTGCGCCCCTACTTTCTCCACAATCGGCTCCAGGATGCTGGCAATGTAGCGTCCCGTTTTTTTTACCATGCCGCAATCGACGCTCTCGACGAACATTGCGCCGTTGTCGTTGATGAGCATGATATTTGCCTGCGCACGGCCGCTCTTATCAGTCATCATATCGCTGCCAATTGTCACGCCCACCTTCGGCCAGCTCCCCGCGATTGGCGCCAAACCTTCTTCAATCCTCTTGCGGCATTGCTGCAGACCCGCACCTCCAACGTTCTTGCGCTTGGGCGGTACGTATCCGGTGCCAGCCTCCGCGACGGCCCGCAACATGTTGCGGAAGAGGACATGGTCGGCGTGGTGCTCGGGGACGCGCATAGCTGCGAAATACAGGCACACCAACTCATCCGCCCTCCGCTTGGCATCAGTTGCACCATCGTTGTAGAAGTCGGTAATTTTGCCTCTCTTTGACGGTCCACCGGTAACAGCATCAACTGCAGCTTCCTCTGCCTTGTGCTTCTCCGCCTTAGCCTCTTTCTTGTCCTCGTTGGCCTTGCGAATAGCATCGACAACCTCCTTAGGCGCTTTGTCGCAAAGGAGAAGCAAGCGGCGTCCTTGGCCTGCCCACGTCGCGAGATGGTGCGCACAACGTGTGGTAGACTGACCAAACGTGTGCTTACAATAACGACACTTGGCACGTTTCCCCTTAACGTTGGGAACGGGAAAGAACAAGTAGTGCTTGTAAATAGGGTGGTCCAACATCTCCTCGTACTTCACCGTGTTACTAGATGCAGCCCCCGAGGCACTTGCATCAATGCTAGGAACGGCTGCTGGTGGGGAAGACGCCATTACCAAGGAGATAGAGGAAACAGAGGTAGTAGTTTAGAGCTGGTCGAGAGAAAACAGAGCTGAGAATGACTAGCGTGGCTGGTTTTTCAAGTTCTGGTTTGGTTTGGTTGCCTAGCTGCAAAGCGGTTCAATGTGGTGGTTGGAGAATGGTTTTGCACTGCTTTGGCCTGGCTTTGAAATTTGAATTTGCGACTTGATGTTTTGAATTTTGCCTTGGCCAAGATGCAAGGCAGTTCAATGTGGTGGGGAAAGGTGTGGTTTTGTGTGGTTCAATGTTGCTCAATGTCGATTTGAAATGTGCATTCGCGATATCTCGTCGAAATCGCGAATGCAATTTTTTTCGCGAGCAAAAAAGTTTCGATTTTGGGCTGCCCGAAAAAAATTTAGGGTTGCGTCAAGCGATTTGACGCGCGTCAAGCGTTTTACGTCAAATCGATTGCGTCAAAGCGCTTGACGCAACCCTAGCCGAGCGTCAATTCCAACATAGGTGGTGATCTGCCCCGTGGTGATCTGCCCTGTGGTGATCTGCCCTGCTCTGTGCTTGCTGCTCCGTGCTGTCACGCTCTGTGCTTGCTGCTCCGTGCTGCCACGCTCTGTGCTTGCTGCTCTGTGCTGCCATGCTCTGTGCTTGCTGCTCCGTGCTGCCACGCTCTGTGCTGCCACGCTCTGTGCTTGCTGCTCCGTGCTGCCACGCTCTGTGCTTGCTGCTCCGTGCTGCGACGCTCTGTGCTTGCTGCTCCGTGCTGCCACGCTCTGTGCTTTCTGCTCCGTGCTGCCATGCTCTGTGCTTGCTGCTCCGTGCTGCCACGCTCTGTGCTTGCTGCTCCGTGCTGCCACGCTCTGTGCTTGCTGCTCCGTGCTGCCATGCTCTGTGCTTGCTGCTCCGTGCTGCCACGCTCTGTGCTTGCTGCTCCGTGCTGCGACGCTCTGTGCTTGCTGCTCCATGCTGCCACGCTCAATGGGAATCATGCCTTCATGACTGCAGCATGCCTTCATGACTGCAGCATGCCTTCATGACTGCAGCATGCCTTCATGACTGCAGCATGCCCTCATGACTGCACCATGCCTTCATGACTGCAGCATGCCTTCATGACTGCAGCATGCCCTCATGACTGCACCATGCCTTCATGACTGCAGCATGCCTTCATGACTGCAGCATGCCTTCATGACTGCAGCATGCCTTCATTCAAGGTATTTGGCGGTGCTTGATTGGCTATCTCTCTTGCACCGCACCCCTCATTGTCACCACACTGTATTCGCCCAACCATGTCTCCTTTTCCACCCCCAACTTCTGGCTGCTCTCCCTCTCTCCATTCCCTCCCTCTCGCACCGCACTCCCTCCATTTGCCACAGCAGGTACAGCTCGACACCCTCTTTCCCGATCGACGAGTCTTCACCCACCTTTCTCGGTCAGTTGTCGCCCATCCCTCCATTCGTAACATCCCCCACCTAGCTGTTCTGCTCCACTCCCACTCTGAAAATTTCATCTAGGCCTATGACTTTGTGAGCCTTTGTATGTGCCATGCGGGTGCTGTGCATGTGGCATGTGTGCACTATGCGTGTGGCATGTGTGCTCCATGCGTGTGCATGTGCGGTGCAGGTACCTGCTGCACCCCGCCAACTATCTGTGGGATCGCATCACCCGCCTCTACCACGGCCACCTCGCCCACCACTCCCTCACCGTCGGCCTGCAGGTCCGCCCAGGGAGTGAGCAGAGCAGGAGCGGGTTACGGGGAAGGGAGGGAGGGGAGGGGGGAGTGGGATAAGGGAAGGGGAAGGAGGGTTGGAGTTGGGTGGGAGGGATTGTGTTGGAAGGATAGGATGGGAGGTTGGAGAGGAGGGAATGAACGAGAAGGGGAATGGGGGATGCGGGAATATGACAGGAATTAAGACAGGAGGGATGGATTATGAGACTAGGTTTTGAGTTTATATGTTTTCACCACATCTTTATGCCTACACGTTTTGTCATCCGTATGCATGCTTGTGTGTGCTCTCGTGCGTGCGTGAGTGAATGTGCGTGTGTGTGCGTGTGTGTGCATGTGTGTGCATGTGTGTGCATGTGTGTGTCCATGTCAGATCCGCGCGTTTGAGGAGACCGAGGAGGATTTGATGGTGAATGTGTTTGAGTGTGCCACCAACATCGCCAGAGTGCTGCCACCTGTCATGCCCACTGACCAATGGCGCCAAACCGCTACAGCTGTGAGTGGCACGTGGGGAACGCAGCTGTGAGTGGCACGTGGGGAACGCAGCTGTGAGTGGCACGTGGGGAACGCAGCTGTGAGTGGCACGTGGGGAACGCAGCTGTGAGTGGCACGTGGGGAACGCAGCTGTGAGTGGCACGTGGGGAACGCAGCTGTGAGTGGCACGTGGGGAACGCAGCTGTGAGTGGCACGTGGGGAACGCAACTGTGAGTGGCACGTGGGGAACGCAGCTGCTGCTTCCATGGCGTGGGGACTCTCTCGTTCCATGTAGCTGTGGTCCGTCCTGTCTTGCTCTGGATGCAAGCATACTGCAGTGAAGTGAACCAGCTCTATCCCATGCGGAGGCAAAAGGGGCACTCGTGAGGCGCTCCATGATCGGACCTCAGCACGTGCGCCAGTCACCTCCATGCACTCCCCCCATGCCCCACTCCCCATGCCCCACTCCCCATGCCCCACTCCCCATGCCCCACTCCCCATGCCCCACTCCCCATGCCCCACTCCCCATGCCCCACTCCCCATGCCCCACTCCCCATGCCCCACTCCCCATGCCCCACTCCCCATGCCCCACTCCCCATGCCCCACTCCTCATGCCCCACCCCCACGAACGTGCACCACCCACCCCGGGCGCCACACAGGTGACGGAGGAGGCGCTGCTGGGCGTGCGCGGGCGCAGCATCGGGGCGCTGGTGGTGTCGCTCAACCCCACGCACGGCGCCAAGCTGCGCGACCGCTACATGCTGGGCAAGCCGCTGGACGGCAGCACTGTGTCCGTCTTCAGGTGCGCTTAGTGTTGGTGGTGCTGGTGATGTCGCTGGTGGTGTCGATGGCGGTGTCGCTGGTGGTGTCACTGGTGGTGTCGCTGAACCCCACGCACGGCGCCAAGCTGCGCGACCGATACATGCTGGGCAAGCCACTGGACGGCAGCACTGTGTCCGTCTTCAGGTGCGCTTAGTGTTGGTGGTGCTGGTGATGTCGCTGGTGGTGTCGCCGGTGGTGTCGCTGGTGGTGTCGCTCAACCCCACGCACGGCGCCAAGCTGCGCGACCGATACATGCTGGGCAAGCCGCTGGACGGCTCCACCGTCTCCGTCTTCAGGTGCAGTGCTACCCCACACCATCTACGCTCTGTGCACTGTTCTCTAGCTTTGGTGCTAGTGTATCAGACAGGACGTTCTCTGCTTTGCTTACACAGGGGTTCACATGCCACTTTTGTGCTGTGTGCTTGCATGCGGGAATGGCTTTCATTTATTCATGACAGAATGGAGCATGAAATGAGCAAGGCATGTCATCTTTTTTACACAATCTCCCACTCATGCGTCATCTCCCGTGCACCATCACGCATGCATGATGCACGTGGCAGTGTGAGTGGCGAGGGTGAGGAGAAGCAGGACGACCTGCTGCAGTACGAGCTCGCCGTCACCGAGATGTGGCTCCTCGCTTTCTGGTGCCCCCCCGACACCCCCTCTCCGCCCTCACTTTGCCACCACTTCCAGTCCCCCCCCTCTCCGCCCTCACTTTGCCACCACTTTCAGCCCCCCCCCTCTCCGCGCTCACTTCTCCCCCACTTCCAGTTCCCCCCTCTCCGCCCTCACTTCTCCCCCACTTCCAGTTCCCCCCTCTCCGCCCTCACTTCTCCCCCACTTCCAGTTCCCCCCTCTCCGCCCTCACTTCTCCCCCACTTCCAGTTCCCCCCTCTCCGCCCTCACTTCTCCCCCACTTCCAGTTCCCCCCTCTCCGCCCTCACTTCTCCCCCACTTCCAGTTCCCCCCTCTCCGCCCTCACTTCTCCCCCACTTCCAGTCTCCCCGCCGTCACATTCCCGTTACAACCTCGCATGTTCCATGCTTGCGGTTTCGGCTGTCTCTTTGCACCCATCTACCTTTAGCATCGCTCACATATGTGACTGATCTGTGACTCTTTTCACACCTCTTCTCTCATCCCGCTCTTTACACCCATGTACCCCTCAACATTGATCTCTCTCACGACTGATTGGTGGTGGTTTCCTTCCCCCCCGCGCCCGTGCGGCCATACGCACCTGTTGTGCTGCCATGCCAGCGATGTGCTGCTGGTGACGGACACATCAACGTTTGGGTACGTGGCGGCGGGGGTGGCGGGGGTGACGCCCTACACCATGAACGTGGCCAAGTGGAAGCACAGCGACTGGCGCTCCAACGGCCGCCTCGCCTGCATGCTCGGCTCGTCCGAGCCCTGCTACGTGCACAAAGTGGAGGAGCAAGTGCTGGTGAGCAGATGAGCGTGGGGAGTGTGGTTGTCATTGGTACCCCATGAGGCCATGACAGGGTGTTGCGAGGGGGGACTCCTCCGAGCCCTGCTACGTGCACAAAGTGGAGGAGCAAGTGCTGGTGAGCAGATGAGCGTGGGGAGTGTGGTTGTCATTGGTACCCCATGAGGCCATGACTGGGTGTTGCGAGGGGGGACTCCTCCGAGCCCTGCTACGTGCACAAAGTGGAGGAGCAAGTGCCGGTGAGGGCATGACGCTGGGGAGTGCGCTTGTGATTGGTACCCCAGGAGAATGTCTTCAACTGTGAATGACTAACCCATGCACACATGCCCTAACTGTGCATCTCTTTTCGTCTACCCTTGCCTCCCACCATTGATTTGCCCCTACTTCTCTCCACCACACATCTCACCACTCCTCAACCCCACCCCTGCGTCCCCTCCCCTCCCTGCAGTGTCCAGGAGAGCCAGAGAAGCGGCCGCTGGAGAACATACCACAGACGCGGGCGTGCCACGCGACGGACGTGGGGCTCACCACCAACCTGCCGCCGCTGCCGCTGCCCTCCCACCATGACGCCTTGGATGCCGCACAGCAAGCTCATCCACCTGCCTCTAATGGCCCTCTGCCTGCTGCGGCTGCTGCCTCTGATTCTGCTGGTGGCATGGGTGCAGGGTCAGCAACAGCAGGGCAGGGAGAGCGAGAGGGGGATGGCCGGGGTGAGCAGCGGGAAGGGGAGCAGGGTGCAGGGGATGCAGCGGATGGTGGTGACCCTTACTATCTGGATGAGGAGCACGCGTGAGGGAAGGGAACTATGGCTGAAACTCTGCTTGTCAACAAGCATTGTTGTCAACGAGCCTTGTTGTAAACCAGGGCCCAATATTGGTTTTGGGGCACCTTTAGGGATCAGGTTGCCTTGATGACGACACCTTGTTGTGAACGAGCATTGTTCTAACCTAGGGCAGTGAGTTTCTTGCAAGCGCTTGTGTTTATTTGGCCGTTTTTTTCTGTTTCATCTTCGCTTGCAAAGTCGAGTGAGGAAGCAAGGCGAGCGAGATGCATCAAATGAACAATGCGCGTGTGCATCATGCATGACGTGCAGTGCAATGGCGTGTGGAGCATGGTGGCTATGTTAGAATGTACCATGTAATGCATAACGTGCGGTGTAGGGTGCATGGTGTACGTAATATCCACACATCATCCTCAAGAGTTCATCAACAAACACAGTACATCACAAGATCAACATACATTCCATTTGCACGACTACCACTCGTCGAAATTCACGGACGCATAGCCGGCATAGAGCCGTCCACTGGTGGCCTTGAGCTCACTGATGAGCCGGTTCCAGTTGGAGCCCAGCGCCCCCACAAAGAAATCCGCCTGCGATGAGATCAGCAGGTTGGCCAGGCTGATCCCGGCCAGCTTGGCTACTCCTGCCGTCTGCTCGTACTCAAATATGGAGGTTGTGCCGTTTTGTCGGGGGTTTGTCGAGTAGAGGAAGGCCCAGTCCTTGTATTGCTGTGACTGGTCTATCACGCTCTGACAGGGGGAGATAGAAGGGAGGAGAGGGAGGAGGGTGGGAGGGAGAGCGAGAATGAAATGCGATGACTGTTGGGTTTACAACTGGAGTAAAGGAAGGTCCAGTCCTTGTATAGCTGTGACTAGTCTACCACTACCGCGCTCTGGAAGGAGGAATGGTGAGGGGGGGGGGGGGGGGGGGGGAGGGAGAAGAGGGGTGTGGGGGAGTCAAAGAATGAAACGAGATGAACGGTGAGTGAATTAGACAACTGGAGCAGAACGAGGCTTGGTTCTTGTGTTGCTGTGACTGCTCCTCCACACTCAGCAGGGCCAGCGGGGCGGAGAAAGGGTGGCCACGGGAGGCACAAAAGACTGGAAAGTTGGCATTATAAGGACAGGGGAGATGTGTGAGCCTTATAACTGCTGCAATCGATCCACCATCCTTCCATTGGAGGAAGGAAAGAGGGAGGAATGTGTGCGCCGGAGGGGGGACATGGGGAGGAGTGAGTTGAAGCGCGACGAGGTGAGACGACAAGGCAAAAGAAGAAACGAACAGCGAAGAATTTCTGGAAACAAGCTCAAACCCATGCAGCATAGGTCCCTGGCTGACCTGCATTTCAGTGCTGAGCCAGACGTATTTGAGGAACGGTGCCCTCCGTCTGAGCCTATTGGCCATGAACATGAACGAGGGGAATGAGATGAGCCGCATCTCGCCCGCCTTGTCCCCTTGCCGCACGTGCATGCTCACAATCGGGCGCGGGATATACGGCTCCCCGCCCACCCCCTCATACACCGAGTCAGCCGCGTGCTTTGGCGCCTCCGGATCCGTATGGTTGTCCAGCGAACACCCCGCATAGTCCAGGCCCGGCCAGACCTCATTCTCGAGGTTCGGCGCGGAGAAATTCATGTGTGAGAGCGTGTTGATCTCCTGCCCGTAGTTAATCGCGAGGCCCTTGTGAGCATCATCAGGCCTGAGGGCTTTGATGATGGCTTCCTGCTCCGCTGCCGCCTTGACCATGTGGATGGCGATCTGCTGGCCGTACGCGTTGTGGCGCACGCGGTTGGTGATGTGGCACATGTATGCCGACGGCCAGCGCAGCATGAAGCGGATCGCCTGCGCTCGCCACCAGTGCACCTGGTGTGGGTGGGGGGGGGAGGAGGAGGGGGGATGTAGGGGTGAGAGGAGGGAAGAGGGGAAGGTGAACTTCGAGTCGGCTCAAAAGAGAATAAGGGGCAAGAGGAGGCCTGTGGGGTGGAGTGGAAGGAAGTGGAGTGGAGTGGAGTGGAGTGGAAGGAAGTGGAGTGGAGTGGAGTGGAGTGGAGTGGAGTGGAAGGAAGTGGAGTGGAGTGGAGTGGAGTGGAGCGGAGTGGAGTGGAGTGGAGTGACGAGGACTGGACTGGACTGAGTGGGTGAATCTTTGAATCCTTGAAAGCGTGCAAGAGCCGTGCGTGCAGAGTAGAGAGTGGCCCGAAACGCAATGCAGAAAGCCATGGACAGGACAGGGCATTGGGTTGCATGGAGCATATGACTTTCACCACAGTACAGTTGAAAACCCACCCGTCACTGCATGGGGTGTATCGGCGGCATGAAGCGCATCAAGTCAAGCAAACACCATACCCAGCCTCTCACACACGCTCCTGTGCATTGAGCCGTCACATCACACACCCCACCTGTGGCCATGACATGACATGCCCACCTGTCGCTGCCCGGGGTTAACTGGCTGCATGGAGCCTGTCAGCTCCACCACGTTGGGCCGCTGCAGGTAAGCGTCGCCCCACTCCCTGGGAGGGAGGGACAGGGTTACCGGCACAGGGGCAGGAAAGGAAGAGGGGAGGACAGGGGCAGGAGCCCGGGAAATGTGTTGAGTCGACTCAAAGAGAGGGGGGTTATTCTGAGTCGGATTAAGTTGAAACCATTGTAGGTATGTGTGGTCCAGTCCAGCTCCCTAGGAGGGGGGGACACAGGGGCAGCGGCGAGGCTTGAGGAAGGGGAAGGGAAGGAAGTGGGAAGGGAAGGGGGAAGGGAAGAGGGAAAGGGAGAGGGAAAAAGAAGGGGGAAAGGGAGGGATAAAGGAGGGGGGTAAGGAGGGAGAAAGGGAGGGGGAAAAGGAGGAGAGGAGAGCATCGCCCGTGTCATTCCAGCCTTTCAGCAATGTGCTTCTTGAGTCAACTCAAACGTCCCAACAACTGTTAGAATTTCAGCCACTAGACCACTGGGATAAAAGGGTTAGTTCCAAACGCTATGGTTATATATAGCGTATATACGCGTGTCATATCTACGCATGCGTTTATACACTATACGCTAAGGTCCTCAATCCAGAAATACGCTATTTTGGGCAGGAAAAAAATTACTCCGGCAGGGTGAAAAAAAAACTCTCTATTCTCACGAAGGCGTGCCTTACTTTAGCATTCTCCTGATTCTGAAAATTGGGTGGGGTGGGAGGTGGATTAGAGATTATCGCTAGACAGAGATAGTAGTAGTAGGAGTGGGCTCTGCTGGAAGCGAGAATGGAAATTAGGAACTGACGAATTAGCAGTTGGGTGGCTGGTGAGTAGTGTGAGGTTTGTTGGGGGGTCAATTTTCACGGGTTGGCTTTCCTAGATGGAATGCGATTCAATGCGGTAAATGGGTTGGGTTTTAGTGCCTAAATGGGATCTCAAATTGACATTCGATTAGCCATGTGCCAGAGACATTCGAAGTCAGATCCCCGCTTCCCTAGACCTCAGATTTGCATTTCGACAACGACGAAATGCTCACCAAGGAAATTCGCACCTTTTTAGCGATTTTTATTTTCGGGCTGCCCTAAAAAATTCTGAAAGTGTATAGCGTATTAGGCAGCGTATAGCGTTTTGCATATAAACGCTATACGCTTTAGGGTCTGAGCGTATATCGCCACTTGTAACCCCGTTAGGATCAATGAGGATCCCCAGTCCAGGTCTACTGACACATCCCCCACACTGGGAGGCCCATGACACGGAACAGCTTATTCGGTAGCATGTGCGTACATGGGGATTTGAACCCGAGATCTTTCGCTCTGATACCATGTCAAAATTGCAGCCACTAGGCCACTGGGATAAAATGACTTATTCTAAATGCGGGTCCGTACGCCCAAACCTCCCCAGGCTAACATGCCTGTAACCCCCCTAGGATCAATCGGGGATCTCCAGTGCAGATCTACTGACAGCAACGACTCATCCGCATCCTTAGCGCACTGCACGAGGCTGTCTGCCTGACGGGATGAATTTCTAGGGCGGCCAAGAAGCTGTGCTCCATCCACCTTGGGGGAGCTACCCATCTTGCCGCCTCCTCATCACAGCCAAGAAAGTTGTCATCTTACCCTCCTTGGCAGCATACCACAAGCTGTCTGCCTTGAATGTGAGCGCCATTCCTCCTTGTAGCAACCTTTTTACGACAACCACCCACCCTCACGCACGCACCTTGCAGCGTCCATCTTAATCGCGAAGGCGATTGTAGTCCTGGGCTGTCAAACTTGAGCGCGCCTTCCCTTCCTGCAACAGCCCGTCTCTTGTGTGAAATCTAAGTAATCCTCCTCCCAACAAGAACCGCCCACCCTCACGCACCTGGCAGCATCCCCCCGCAAGCGAAGGCGGTTGTAGTCCTCATCTTTAGCGCACACCACGGGGCTATCCGACTTGAGCGCCCCTTCTAGGTCCCGAAAATCAGGGCACGGCGGGATGCGGCCTGCCCGGTGCTCCGCCATGGCTATGTCCTCACACTCCTTGGATACCATGGGGAAGAAGTAGCACTCGAAGGTTGACGCCTTGCCTATGGCTGGGAGAGGTAGGTTGGGGAGGAAGGAGATGGGGAGGGAAGGAGATGGGGGGGGGAAGGAGATGGGGGGGGAAGGAGATGAGGGGGGAAGGAGATGGGGGGGGGAAGGAGATGGGGGGGGGAAGGAGATGAGGGGGGAAGGAGATGGGGGGGGGAAGGAGATGGGGGGGGGAAGGGGGAAGGGAAAATAGGGACGGGGAGACAGACGGGGAAGGGGGAAGGGGGAAGAGGGAAGGGAGGGGGAAGGAGGGAGGAAGGGGGGAGGGGAAAAAGGGAAAGGGGAACAGGGAACAAGGAACGGGGATCTCGGAAGGGGGAAGGAGGAAGGGAGAGCAAGTGAGAGGGAAGGAAAAGAAGGAGAGAAGGGGTGAAGGGGTGAGTTGGCAGTCGTCGCAATCCTTGCCCCACGAAGAAAGAGATGCAGCACCCACACATGGCCGCCTTGACCAGTGTGGAAAAGGGGGGCAGAGAGTGCACGCATGGAGGTGCGA